AAAAAAAAAAAAAAAGGAATAGATTTACGAACTCACGCAACATTTGTGTGCCATCAGAAGCCTATGGCCGAGCTGGCTACGGCGTATTTGAAAAGAGACCATCAATGGTGATACTACGTATACCGGTGACTCCCGTTGATCACCCATTGATACACTGATACGCTGAGGCTGAGGCTGGCTTTGAGAGAACCGTCGTTGCAGATGAGTCGGAATCAGGTTGAGGCTGAGGAGGCCGCGTCTCGATTACAATGAGATGTTATCGCGGCGGCGGCAACGCATCTTCGGCAGTCTAAGCGCACTGAGCCATCCAGCCACAGCAGCCAGGCCAGAGCCAAATTCACCATCGATCAGCACAATGCAATGAAGAGCACACTACCAGTGCCAGGCCCACGCCAGGCCCTTCAATTGGCGATGTCAAGCCGGCTTTGTTGGCTATTGGGCGCGGCGATATTTTCACGGTTGCTAGAGCAGCCTGGCCGCGCCGTAGTGAGGAGTGACTTCTGATCGAGGTGCTGTGATGCTGTGGCGCGCAACTCACATGCATCATCATTGACTCTGAGCTGGCTTGGGCATCGTGTCAGAAGACATGTGCAAGGGCGTCCGGAACTCCGAAAATCTGCCCTCAATAGGGGGGGCTTGGTGGCTGGTGGGGGCAACATCTAGGGGCGAATTACCCCTAGGTAAACTCGTGCATCCAAAGGGGAGGGGGGGGCTGGTGGCCGGTTTTAATTTCGGAGTTCCGGACGCCCCTGAACACTGGCATGTTTTGACACGATGCCTTGGCCAACGCGCTTCAAATTTGTATATCATCTGTACTATTTTTTGTTGCTGTTGTTGCTTGGAGTTTGATCAAGCCCTTTGGACTACATTTGAGCTAGGAGCTGAAGCACACTTCATACGGGACGGTTAGTACGGACAGTAGCGGGGCGTGAGCGGGCCCGGCCCGCGTCCGAATCTCAAACATCTCCCATTGGATATTGTCATGCCACACTGAATGCGTCGCTGCCATAACGCGTCGCTTGGCGAATCAGCATGAGACACGTGGCATGCCGTAACGTACTTAGATAAGTTAGTTAGCTTGAACCGACCGCAGTTAGCACATCTAACCATAACCTCGCAGGCTCGTCACGGATTGGCTATGGATCAGTCACATCATACTGGACATCCATTGGTGCAAACCATTATCCACAATCCAATTATTGCAACCAAGGTTCCACGATTGAATCCGGGTACGTTTTCGAACGTTCCCTGGAGACGTAACCAGTCGCTAACCGGTTATGTCACCGCGAGTCACCAGGTTATGATACCGGCCGTCGCGTACCCTATAGCATGTGGCACAGCCAGCTGCAGCATGCAAGTGGATGTCCAAACTCGTTGTGCGAATCCACGGGTACTTAAGCCAATGGCCCAGCCATTTTCCAATTTGACCGTTTCATTCAAGTTAACTATCCATTGCCACCGGACACCCGTGTCCACCCAGCATCCGAGCGCCTTGAGCGTTCAACCCAGCACCCGAGTACCTCGAGTACTCAACAACCAGCGCCAGCAGTACCGGCGACAGAGGAGACAACACCAACGTACCAACACCAACACCACCGGAGTAGGAGAACGACAACAACAGTAGCAGTACCAAACACGACAGTAACTTAATCGGCCCTATAGCCTTCAGCGGTACCTTCTTGTTTCACATCACCATGCATGTCCCATGCCTCCGGCGACGCCATCATCCAATCAGTAAGTGTCAACTGCTTGTACTTGTCTTGTGTTCATGCTTGAGTCCCTTTGGACATCCAGAATCCTGAATGCGAGCCACCGCCACCCTGGGTAGCGAACCTCTCGGACGGACAATGTGGATGCTGTGGGGATTACCTTGAATGTTAGCACAAGCCACCTCCAATGCAGCTTGTTCATAACGTGCCATACACCACCCATACTTTTCTGAGCGCCAGCTTAAGAAACCATCGTGTCCTTTCAATCAATCCTTAACCAAGGGAAGGGGCCTGACCCCGATAATGAATGAACATGAATTCCATACATGCCGCCTTATTTACTCAGCATATACCGCCAATTGCTCGTATCATGTACTCTTTAACGCTTAGCCGATCCATGTGTCTCATCACTTCATGTAACCGACGTCAATCGAACGCCGACGTTATATCGCACGACAATATGATCGCCACAGACATTGGAAATATGTGACGTCCATGCCTGGCACATGGCCGCCACCGTGGTACGACGCCGATCCATGAAGGAAGAACTTTGAGTCACGCTTGCCAATGCATGGTAAGTCTTCATACATCGATCGACCGTGCATTGAAAATACCAAGTCGAAGTGACTCACATGCCGCCCCGCCGCCGTCCTAGGTTCATGAGAAATCTGATATTCCTGGCATGCACATGCACTTCAGTATACTTAAACCCATGCATGTGGGATCCGGGGGGCCTCGAATGCAATATAGCCTAGTAGCATGCATGTGTCGGACAATGACACTACAACCAACGGTGCTGGCGCGTGCATTTCAATGGTAGCTGGCACATATTACGCGACGCTAGCTGATCGACTATCATGATTTGTATGTATGCATATCTACATTTTGAAACGTACTTAGCCAGGTTTGTCATGAATTGTCAAACGATATTCATATAGCTACGACGGTTGAGCGCAACACGCAACCCTCTGCAAATGGTACGGTTGACAGTTACACCGACTTGGACGACAAGACGGTACAATCAGTCCCGAATCTGATCGATCACAAGTCCTGAGGTGGCGGTGCCACAGTAAGCCTGCTGCGATTCGGTCGGATTAGCAACAATCAATCCTTATTTACTGAGGCCAATCTTCTCTTTCAATTGATGCAACGGCTCCTCGCGGCACCTGCTCTTTGCAAGCGCAATGCGCCAAGCGGCCATTTTGCAGGTTCAATAAGTACACACAATTTCTATTCTGACGTTTCCCCGTGTTTTTTCTTTCATATCACCGATACTGATGTCCGGAAATGGTCCTAGCTAGTACCCTACGCTCACTACACATGGGGCGTAATCACATCGGGAATTCCCGCGAGCGGCTGACAGAACTTCGCTCGTTCCTTCGGGCCACGTGATGGTGAAGGCAGTGCTACCGTACGGTGTGTGGAGCACTCTCGCATCCCGATTGTTTAGGATCGAACACATTTACGCCTATGCAACTTTTCAGAATTCTACTGTACAAACCCAGGCACTTTAAGCTCGAATTGCTCGTGCCTTGGCAACGGACACAAGCTAGCGGCCACGACCGCGCTCCGTCTTGAATTCTTGCAATCTTTGCCAAACGCAAGACTGTCGTTTTTTATGCTCGCACTTGTCGTTAACACGAATACCTGACATTGACAAACAGGGATTTTGTTAGAAAGCAAGAAAGAGACTACGAGTTGAGAAGGGGGCATCCGAACCACGTTCAAAAATCATCCTTGTACTGCCGTAATGAAGCGAATCGGGGAGATTGCTTTCAAAATTCGGCTTCTTCTTCAGTTCGCTGACTTGAATTCCGCCTCTAGCAATCTAGAAAGGGAGCCAGTGCGAACCGCATCGAAGCTTGGGAGGCTTTCGTCTCAAGGTACGCCTCCATGCGAAAACGGTACTCACAAAGAAGCGGGCAAACTTTTTCCCCAACAATCGAAGAACAAACACGGAAAGCGCCCAAAAGGCATAAGATGGGTCTTCCCAAGGTCGAAGGGAAGAAGCGTACAGAGTCGATCCAACACCCTTTCGGTCACTTATACATCCAAAAGAGGGAAGCAGTCAGAGGTACCAAGGGAACACGCAGATAGGACCCCGGTTACTTTCGATTACTGAAGATAAGCACCCGGAGACGGGTAGGTTACTTTAAGGGTTAGGCTGGGTACAGGTGCAGAGCGCGTAACATTTTGGGTCAAGGTCGAAGTTGAGGAGCCCGGGGCTTATGCATTTCATACCAATCTCCTATTAATACAATCTGGAGTAACAAGTATGCAAAGAGGTACATGCGACTCGCCTCGTTTTCCATTCAGCGACCGTTCTGGCTCCCCGTCTGCTTCTTCCGCCAAACAGTGCGGCCTCGGCTGATCTCGGACAGGTCCTCCTGCTGCCTCAGCAAATGGTTGTACGCCACGTGTCCCGCTGCAAGGGCCTGCAGCGGCAGTGGAAGAGCGCGTTTGGCACATGGGGTCTCCAATTTCACTTTAGCCTTCGGAGCTGCCTTGTTAAGATTCTGCGTCGACCAGTACTTCAACAAGTTCCGGTGCCAGTCATCATAAAGACGAATTTGTCTTTGTTGGACTCGAAAAAAGTGTCTAGAAGTAGTCGAGTCGGCGAGTCCGTTATTGTTACTAATTAAGACATCAAGACCAGATCTCAGGAGTCCAGGCATCCCTCCTTCTGATTGTGGGTGCCTTTGGAGGGCTCAGAGCTCCGTGATCAATCGCGAGATATCTTTCAATGTTAGGAAGTGTAGAATGGGCTTCGGTACTCGGCGCTTAAATATCACTATCAGAGGCTGAAAGTGCAAAGGTTCGTCACCTGCTGACTCTGGGTCGCTTGCCAGGATGCCTACCGCTCGAAGTTGCTGACGCACTTGCGCCGGCGTTCGCGACAAACGCGAGCTCGTAGGTTTCAAAAGAAACAGGACTCCGAGAGGGAGAGAGAAAGAAAATAGAAATGTCAAACGGACAGAAGTAGGGTCGTGGGGACCCCGCACCTGCTGGCTTTGGGTGCCCGCAGGAGGCTCCGCACTCGTCATGGACTCGACGATGTCCTCACTGATGCATTTCGCGGCGATACTCGAGCGTGATTGACGCGAGCCCGTAGTCGTCAAACGTGTGAGGCTCTAAAACAAATAAAGCAAAACGGAATCAGCAGAAAAGCATCAAACAAAAGAGAAATTGGAAAAGCCCCGCACCTGCTGACTCTGTGTGCTCGCGGGAGGCTCCGCGCTCGTCATCGACTCGACGATGTCGTCACTGATGCACTCGCGGCGGTACTCGAGCGTGATTGACGCGAGCTCGTAATGGTCAAAGATCTTGTCCGGCACGCTCTCCAACATCCAACCGAAATACGCCACGTTGTTCACGTGGTGGTTCATGTCGAGGTCGCTGCGACGGGCCTGGATAAAGAAATAGAGCGGTGTTGAGAATTTTTGAGATTTCGGAAAAGTAAGTAATACTTTTGGAAATTCGTTTGCACCGCATTAAAATGGAGTGGAGGCGGAAACTGTCAAAGCCGCTTCGCTGGTTTTTTGCAAATTCAAGACAGAACCTTGCAACAATCGCCAAGAAAGGGGATCAATCGTGCGAACTAAACTCTTCCTAAGGCACGTGATCCTCGGCTGCAAGTAGACGGGAGTTTTCAGATGGTCTCTCCAGCATCCAACCGAAATACGCCACGTTGTTCACGTGGTGGTTCATGTCGAGATCGCTGCGACGGGCCTGGAAAAGGCAGAGGAAGACTCGCTGGAACCATTGCATCGGGACCACAGGAGACGGGCAATCCTTATCAAGAGTGGAAAAGTTTCCAGAACTTGATCGTGTCGGAAACGGGTTTGGAACGGGGGAAGGAAAGACAATTGTCGCGGGATCATCATCAAGGCCAATTTACAAGTCTTTCGAATGTCGAGAAAGAAACACGTGACCACCACTAAGGGAATTGCATTCGACATCCACAGGGAGAGGGGATCGACAATACGCAGTTTGTCTGAGGCAAATGTTATTAGATTCCTGGTACATGACATCAAGGAACTCTCCAGCTCCAATCCAAAGTAAACCCATATGAGATTTCCGGTTCCAGGTCGAAGCACCGAACCCTATTAGACGGAGCAGACAGCTTACGAACCTCAAGTTGCACTGAAAAAAGTTGGAGGACGCGACTGGTCATGACTAGTATTGTACATTGTTTACAAAAAAATCATTTAATTGATTTTCGGAGGGATTGATTTTCGGAGAGAAAGACTGTATATGCGGCTGGATTTGGAGGAGGTCGCTGCCCTCCTTGCAGAAACGCACGCAATCCACCCCCGAGAAGAACAAAAACACAACCGAAATGGCTGACGCAGGTGCTACGGCCTCCAAGACAATTGGTTGCCGGCAGTTCAAGACGGACTTAGTCTGCCAAGACTTGCGGACTACCGTAGTCCAAGGTAATGAATCCTAAATAATCATTTGCATTCGGAAAGTCAGAAATTCGGATTCACCGTTCGAAAAGTTCAAATTCGGAAACGTAAAATAATCCCGAAATGGTCCTCGGAAAGCGAAAAACTGCCAAAATAGGTCTTAAATTGCTTTTTCAGGTGTGAACATAGGGCATTCGGATTCTGGGCGAATCTGCATAGATAATTCCGCATTGCTGGTCGGATTGTTGAAAATCATTACTGGGAAAATCCGTTCGGAATCATCACGTTGGACTACGGTAACCGAGAGTTTCCAAACCTGTACCCTTCCAGAAGTAGCCATTAGCTTGATAAGCAAAGCGCGCCTTGTCCGCTTTCAAGCTTCGAACCAGATATTGAGAGAACCCAAGATCTCTTGCCTGTAGATTCTGCTTTGTATGTTCGGGGGGCTGTTCCAGCTTGCAGATCTTCATGGAGGCAGCCAGCTTGTCAACCGGGGCAAACCTGCGGGTCAACGAAGTGCGTTAAGGACTGGGCAAGGATCGGGTAACCATGTCGACCTGTTCGTTAAGGGTTATGTTGACCTGTTTATAAACCCGTCAGCGCAATCCAACTGCAATAGAAGGTGATGAAAATTCTGAATTGGTGCGACCAATATTATGCACCATACGAAGTAAGCAGTCGCCAATTCAACAAGGGAAACATTCGAACCCAAACAGTCTTCGAGGAATCAATGCCCTAGAGTGCAGAATGTCGGGTGATATTTTCGGAGAAGACACCATTCTTGAGGGCTGTGGGAGTTATACGAACTCAGCCGAGGACATACGATTCAGCAGAAAAGCAGTGAAGTGAAAACCGCACCAAACGCACCAAAGGCTCAAAAATCTAAACAATCGAGGAAGAGAAGAATAATGAAGTCGACGAACTCACTTGGAGGGCTGTGGGCAGTAGACGAGCAGCTCCGCTTTGACTTCCTCGTCCTTGGGGGCGAGCTTGCGCGTCTTCTGGTCCATCATCACCCATTTGCTGAGCAAGAAAGAAAAGAATACATTTGTGAGATTCTGGATTCTGATATTCACAAGGTGAATGAATTTGAGCTTGAGGAAGGAATCGTTAGGGGCGAGCTTGCGAGTCTTCTGGTCCATCATCACGCAGGTACTGAGAGGTAGAAACCAAAGAAATCATCAAACCGCAGAACTTGGATAAGCAGAGAGTGACCGAATCCGAACCCAACAGAAGAGCACCTTTCGAGCGGCAGGCTAACGAAACCTGCTCTTCTGTTGAGGAAGGCCGATCCTCGATCAGCTAAACCTACTCGTATCCTGTGGAAGGCAAGGAGCAGAACGTTGACCAAGAATCTTGTTTCAGGCGCCAAACGAGAGGGCGGAACCTGTGAAAATGCAATGAAGCAGGTCCATTGTTGAGGGCAGAAGGAACGAGAAAAGGGAAAGAAAGAAAGCAACTCGGCGAAAGAGGAGTTGCCAAAGCCGAAAAGCCTGATATGTTGGGAGTTGTGAGAGCTAACCTAAAGTGTGACCCGTTTTTTTGTTCGAGCCAATAACAGGGGCTCACCAACATTAGAGCTACTAAAACGGGGAATAGGCAAATATCCTCCGAACGTGCTTCTTTTACAGGCAACATGATCTTTGAACACCAAGCGGATTCACAACGCTGGGATAGACTCATATCCGCAGATAGGCATGCTTTATTCAATGGCAACACAACTCCCTGCTTGCGTCCAAAGGTTCGCATTATCAACTGAACGACCAACACACGATATTAGCTGATACAGAGGCAACAAACAAATGTGAACCTTATAAGAAGGGTGAACTAACCTCGTTCCACAACCAATAAGGTCCCCGCTCGCCGCATCTCGTATGTTCCAGTCGCGCCGCCCCCCCACTCGGCCGGGGTCTTGGAACCACGTGTCAAACTCAACAAAATCGCCCCTGCATCAGACCAGAGTCTTTCCTTGTTTCCTTGTTGCCCTCCATGAATCGTGACTTCTACTCGTCATGATACTAACTCTGTGCTTCATCCGTGTGTTCGCTGTTGAGTTCCAAAGAACCTTGGAAAACTCGTTGGGCATTTCTTTTTGATGTTCATAAAGCCTCCAATGTGCGCTACTTGGAAGAGACAAGTTCTCACAGGAGTGACTCATTCAAAAACACGTGGAGGGACCAATCCTGATGATCAGCATTAGAACGTCGTGAGCATCCACTTCTTCAATCATTCGTGAGCCTGCTTGTAGAAGCATCCCAAAGTCGCCTTTGATCTTTCCGCTTCCCCGTACCTTTTCAAGAGACGGAGTGACTTCAGATTGAACGTTTGTTTATGAGGCGAGTTCAACGACCTCAACTCAGCTCCTACAGATTGCTCCATTCTCTTGATCAAGAAGGACTCTGCTCTTTGACCCCAGAACTTCCTTCAGAGTACATTCGAAAGAACAGGACAGGTGGAAGGAACTCACCACTTGGGATACCGGAACATCTCAATGTGAATGCGCGTAGTGACCCAAATCATGCCCCGTTCCCGCATCAGGGGGCTCGTGGCAAACCCGTCGTTGGAGAAACCCACAGCTTGTGCGTGGTTAGCAGAAACCTCCTGCAATGACCAGATTTGGCAGCCAGTCAGAAAAACTGGATAGAATTGGCTTACGGGCGGTTCAGATGGGGTTGTGATTGAAAAACCCTTTGGTTGGTGCAGAGATCCGGTTTGGTTGGCGCAACAGTACAACTGAATTCTGTAAAGACTGCAGACTAAGCAACAGTCTGCATAGATTGCACCCTCAGGGTCGAGTAGGAGGGCTTCTTACTTTGGCTTTGGAATTCAAGGGGCTTTCCTTATCTGAAGTTTGGTATCTGAATACTGAAGTGGAATCAAGAGAGGGTGTGTACTACCAGGCCTTTCTGAGGCATCGAAACCAAGCACTGAAGAACTTGAGCGCAGACTAACTTAGCACGATCAATAGTGGTTGGGAACAGAGTAGTGACTTCCCAGAATTCTTAATTAGGCGGCCTCTAGTCTGAAACAACAAGTGTTGACGACTGTATTGTACTGGTATCACTTGTCCGGCTGCAGTCACTTTAGGATCACATACTAACATGATCACATGCCAGCAAACCAGAACAGGGGTTTGAGCTCTGGGAAACGGAGATGTATATTGCCCCATTTCCCCCTGAGCCCCAAAAGGATCCTTTTCAAGATCACCGTTGATGAGACGGCGAAAGCAAGAACTTGCAAATGAAACTGCAAATCAAGGGCCTGGACATGTCATTGGATTGATTCTGACCCCCAATCTTGTGAACCCAGTGTACCTTGTTCATCAGAAACGGGGATACAATTAATTTAGAACAACAGGTGCATTTAAACTTGCATAGAAATCTCAAAAGTGACCCAGGATCTGAAGGTGGTTGCCTCAGTCCTTGTCATTTGTTGCAATGAATAGCGACTGAATGAGCGATGCAAAAGAGCAGCAGTTCAAGGGGGTGCATTGCAGAAGCAATCCCTTCTTCTCAGCAGCACGCTCACTTCTGACGGCAACTTAAAGATAGTGATCATAGTCAGGTATGCCCCCTTAAATAGAAGTTGCGACGCTCATATAAAGCTCATGTCTCGTTTGCTCACAGCAGCCTCAGAAACTCAGAAAGAAAAGAAAATCCGAACAGCTTCTGATGCTAGTATCCTGACTGTGCCTCCTCGTTACTGAACCATGACCTTCAATTCAACAAGAAGTACAGGTTGACGGAACCAAAAGCAATTGCTTATGCCTCACAATCAATTCGAGAAATTGAAGCCCCTCTCACCTGCATCAGGTTTGCAATTGTTTCGATGCTGGCCGTCCGATTCCGGTCCACCTCATAACACCGGATAGCAAACCGCTCCCTGAAGACAAACCCGCTGTCCACAAACCGCCCCGCCTTGAACATGTCAGCATGCAAGTCAAACCCCCCCCAGGCATTCCCCCCCCGTTCCTCTTCCTCTGTTTTGGGCATCGGGCGCTCCTTCACCGCCACCCCGTTCCGCAAACTGGGGGGAAGATCTGCGATGGCGGGGGCCTTTTCGCGCAGCATGGAGTAGGGCGTGAACACTGCGGTGTTAACAGGCTCCGCACTCGCTTTTCTGTGCAGCCATTGTGTCACCAGAGAACGGACGGAGTTGATTGGGTGCACCGTCATTTGAACCCTGGCCGTCTCTTGTTTCCTGGGCCTTCGGACGGGATATTGGACCGTCAATCGCTGCCCAAAGAAGGTGTCTCTGGCGCCGGAGCCGGAGACACTGGGCCCATTTCCACAAACGCAGGACGAGCCGTCTGTTAACAGCTGTCCTCCGCTGATTGGCCGTGTGGCCATGGCCATTGGTGATGCGAAACGGACTTGCTTCTCAAAGCAGTACCGATTGCCTGTTTCCTTCTATCCAGATCTCGATCGAATGCAGCTGATTGGTTTCCACCTGGGGCAATACACTGGCAACGATGTGAGGGAATTGAGCTGCAAATTACTGGAAACCGCCCTGTGAATGAACAGCAAGGGGCAGAAATAGCTACCAGGGACAACACCAATTCGTTGCCCTTCCCCTGCTTGGATTGAAGCACTCTTCAGAACTCAGGCGGAGCGCAAATCGATCTTCCACCCTATGCCTTTTTCATCCAATTACCTATAGACCTTCAAGCCCTCAGTTTGACACCCACCTTTTTCTTTGGGTTTGAAACCGTAGCGCAAAGAGACGATTGGTCAAGCACATGCCAAATCCATGCGATGGTTGCCAAAAAGTTCAGCGCACCATTGAAAAGCGCTCCTCGGAGTCCTCCTTTGCTTTGTTGCACCAATGCATTCTCTACTCCAGAGCAGGCTGCATTTTGCTTCGCTTCCAGATTCATGCTCAGATCTTTCCACCGCAGCCGTCGATCCAGGCGCCCATGCTCGACTCACCGCCACTTGTCAGGCCGTGAGATGGCCGTTTGTGACGACACCATTACCGTCTAAACTCGTTACCCTTTACCGTTATAGCCTCACCTGCGCGAGCGCACGAGCGCGCCAATGCCAAATTAGCACAAAATGAAGAGAGGAAGTTGGCAAAAAGAAGAGGGACTCGAGTTGCATGATCGAAGACGAAGAAGCCATTGATATTGTGGGCTTCCGCGTGAAACGCTGGCGTTGCACCACATTTCTGCTACAAGCTGAACTGCTTCTATCAGACCTCAGGATCAGGGCTCCTTGGGGGCGCATCTGCCAACATAATTTTGAAGCAATGCGGCTCCTCGCCTACTCATAAAGTGAGACTTTGCAATGAAGTCACCTGCAATTGGATCATACTGGGAATCCGGTGCTGAGATGCTGGTGCTGGAATGTGATCTCCTGCGCACGGACAGAAAGTGAAACTTTTGCTACTTGTGAACCCAATGTTTGATTCCTCAAACTTGCATTATTACCATGTTGTTCTGCAGTCCTTCACTCACTGATCTTGGTGCGGTAGCTCAGTCACTTGTACTTTCCTGGCACCATTCTTTTGCGATGGCTATATTCAAATGACGTGTCCCCAAAAGCAATGCAGTGGCATTATTTCAATGGGCGCAGGGATCTATATTGCCGATCAACTGGAGACCATGTTTTCCCTTGTTCCACTTTGTGGAAGTGGCCTCTCTGCTTACTTCCACACGGTTGTTTTAAACGAATTTTATTGATGCCCACGCTCTTCTGCAGCGCTCCAAATAGGAAGGTGCCGCTAGAGCTCGTGCATCATGAGGACCTTTGAGGACGTCTACGGACTGTGGCTCAGCAGCAAATGCCCCGTTGCCGGGGCGCCAACGCTAGAAGCGGTGAGTGCTTCGTGCTCGAGCATCTCTCCCCTCCTTAATGAGAAGCACCCATAACGTTGATTGCTAGATGGCTCTTAAGCTCATGTGCTCCCCTTGATGAATCTCCGTGACGGCGGACCTTCGTAAGTATTTGGCAAAGCTGGACTTTAGCTCTCGTTCAGTGCCACAGTGTTTCTATGCACCCTGCTTTGAGCTGTGCTGTACAACTCCTAGAAACCGCCTTTGAGTTGGGACCTCTTTCCAGTTGCATCTGAACCAGCATATTCGACCACTTATCCTTCTCGTGACCCCGTTTCTTACTGAGACCCAGGCTTGGAGTCATAACTGTCCCTTGAACTGCTAGCCTTTAAGCAATCTAAGCAAAGTTCAACAATATCAAGTATGCTTTGCCCTCTGTTCTGTCGTTCAAACTGTTCAGTTCACCTCCGTGCGAGACCTCTCCCGCTTCTTTGTTTCAGAAGTTCAGCTGATCCGTTTTGAATATTCCGGGAAAAGCGGGCTTCTGCGTTATGTGTACCCCTTTTGTCGGGCCCACGAGCTATGGCACTGTTTTGTCCCCACTGAGATTCTTGCGGCAACGCTCATTTGAAAGCTCAGAATCATCCACAGTAAAGACTTTGCGCAATCTGCAGGCCCGGTTCTTTAAAAGAACTTGGGGGCCTGATACCCTCTTGACCATTCCGCAAATGGATCCCTGATCTCTCCTGCTCTGCTTGATGCAGGCACTCGTAATTTTGGGCTACATAACCTTCCTGGCGATCGCTGGCGCCATTCTTCCTGGAAAGACGTATGCTGGAACGGTCCTTGCTGATGGCAGCCGGATCTCCTACAAATGCAACGGTGAGTACTTTCAATCCGTTTCTTTCAACTTCATTGGCTCGAAATTTCAGAGAAGTTCTTTCCGATGACGCCCTAATGGACAAGTTACTTCGAAGGATGTTCAGAACTCCTTTCAATGCCAGCAGAACTTCAGATACAGTACGTTGGGGATATCGCACGGAAGCTGCTGTTCTTTCATTACTGTCATGCTATTCTCTTCTGAACACCTTCTATAAAGGCTAAGGGAACGGGACAAGCACCTTGGCTAGCGGGCGTTCGAGCATGCTTGTGCTTAGCGAAAGACGCAATTTGTCCTCACTCCACCTGTCTGTATGTCGAGCGGCAACTAAAATTGCCTCCTTTGTTACCCGTTTTGTGGTTTGAAACCAGCTTTCTTTTATCCTCATGACAGGTTTCCTGTTGCTCCTCGTCCTTTTGGCCAGCCTTGGGGGCCTGGTGCTGACTGGCGTCGTAGATCCCAAGGTAACCAATCATCTTAGGTGGTCTATTGTCGGAACCCTTGAGTAGAGAACGTTTCCCATTCTGGACCCCTACAATGGTTGATACTCTATGCGCGCGCGGCTCAGAAGACTGGTGACATCCCGAGTTCCCAGTGACTGTCTCCATGTCTGCGGACGGGAAAGCACGTACGTCAACATGCCACCTATTGGCGTCATCGGAGAGGATTTAGTTGGTCGGTCGACAGCAGCCATAAGTGGTTACGTTACAATGGGTTTACCCCTAGGTCACACGTGTCAGCCCGAGTCTTCAGCTGCTCACGCATAGGGGTACCAGAAGGTATGGGGGTCAAAAATGAAACCTGGAGTCCACTTTTCCTTTCCAGGGGTTCTCTCAATATTTTCAGCTTTTGGTGCCGCTCCGAATCAGCTATACTCAATGTTCCAGACGAAGCAAAAACCCATTCATCACTCCCAAAAGAATGAGAGTCACCGAATGCATTCGCGTCACAACAAACGAACGCCTTTCTCTCGCAGTACATAGCACGAAATAGAGGGGCCCTGTTTACGACCGACCTCGCCATCGCTTTTGCGGTAAGGCTCCTGAAGAGAGGCTTTGCTCATCTCACGGACTGTACTTTGCAGCACAGCGTTCTTGTTTTCGATGAAAGCCTCATCAGCGGCCCGAAAAGTGAATGCTGGAAAGAAACCCCCACACAGTGTCGGGTGCTTCTGTGCCTTTTCCCAAACAAGCTGTGAAGTCCGATGGACAGATGCCCTTGTCGCTCCAAATATTCTCGCAGAAGTTGTGACACGGGCGTAAACGCTTTCGTTCTCTGTTAGCATCTCAAGTCGTAACGTTTTCTTGACGTGCGCAGTTGTCGTGCATCTTGTATGTCCAAGGCCTGTCGTCCAGCAGCAAAGCCGCGTCGTTCGAGCCGCACGTGACCAGCAATCCGCTACAAGATTGGTGAGTCTCGGTCCCTAACACATGGCACTTGCAGGTTCTTTCTTCTTGTTTTGCTGATCCAAAGATTTTGTCTCAACGTGGCATATGCCGGTATACCCGGATTTTGGTTCTTCCTAACCCTTCCTGCCTCTCAAGTCGGGTACCCTGATGACGGCCTTTGTTATTGGTTCCTCAGTGCAGTCGTCCCCTGAGAATTTTTGTGGGCAAGTATTAGCACTCTTCAGCTAGCCCGAAAGTCTTCGCTCCCAGCAATCTCGAGTTGACGGGTGCCTGTACACCAAGCATCTTAGCGATTGAAATACAATTGCAGGTCCAATCCAAGATAAGATTGAATGAGCCGTATCGTCTATGGCAGTTCAGGACCCCTTAAAATTTGTAAACGGATCGTCAGACACCGAGCATCTTCAGACGAAGCTTCGGTTCCACATGCATTTTAAGGTCATTGACGTCTTAATCGTATGTGACGGTCGAACGCAGTGCATACCTACAAACCCCCTACTGCACACCTTGTAAAGGCAAACCAAACCGCAAGCGAAAGCCGTAAACGTGATTTAACCGTCCAGTGCTAGCCTCGACTATAACTGACCCTGATACTAAGGTCGGACTCTGATACTGACCTTAACGGTGATTGTTTCCCTAACTCTTAGCATCGGTTTTGGTTCAGGTGGTGCGGCGTTCAACTCAACCCACGCTTTCTAGGCCTCGACATAAAGTAAGCTCCTTTGGCGTCCTTTCGGTTTGGAAAGTCTCCAACATTGAGGTTTGGACGTTCAAGCTTTTCATGGTTGGGCGCAATTATTTCTAGCGGTTTTACCTGGCCTCGGCCTATGCCTATGCTTTGAAACTTCGTGTATGCAGAATTTCAATGACTTTCATGAGTATCTAGAAACAAACGACACACTAAAATCAAGATCCTGACTGGCAGCGAAGATGAGCTACGAGTATTGCGCTATCCAGCCTGATTGTCATCATCGCATTTCGTACCCGCTTCATTTCTGCTTGGACACAGCCGCCAGACATGAAGCAGCTCAGAACAAGCGGAATAGGACACGTCCGCTTTTGATGATAGGTCTGCTTTGATGAGAACTGTGATCGCGTCGAATCTGAGGTGCACCAAGGCAGCCTTGGGCGTTTTCGAGTAAGATGAAAAAAAGAAACATCGATATGTGATGATCTGACGAACTCCGCAAAGGCTTGCGTTTGGTATCTGCTCTGTTGGATTGTTACACAGACTTTCTGAACTTGCTTCACTTGGCTTACCCCTTCCTCCAGCGCAGAAAGCAACCAGAAACTTGAGTGTATGACGCTGACCTGTTTGTTCGTGGTGCGAAAGACTCCCCATCTTTCAAGCAAAGGGTCTTAGATCTGTTAATAGTCAGCACCCGATTTCCAAGCTGCAAATATAGCCTGCGACCTCAAATCGAAGTGACCGCTAAGAAGCAGCTGCCAAAGGTCAAAGCACACGAAAGGCGGAGAGATCCACATATCAACCGGGACGTTGCATTTAAACACGCTATACTCTGTGTACCATAGGCTATGTGATACGCTGTACTTATGCAGGTTCTTCTGGTACCGCCCCTCGATGATGGGTTGGCTCCTCATTAACATCTCTCTGGCCGCCCAACAACTAGACGTGCGGGGATCCGTCTCGCTGCCCATGATCCTTTACCAGGCCTTTACCGCCTTCTACATATTTGACTACTTCTGGCACGAGGAGTATGTGACCTCCACGTAAGTTCCATTTTTTTCTCATCCAATCGATCGTTTCCTTCGTCCGTTCGAATCTCCCTCTCTTTTTTGAAGGTACACGTTTTTCCCCAGCGCTGCACGCGTTGAGACCTTTCCTTACCATTTCTGCTTCGCCTGCTTTCTTGGACCAGGGAACGTGCTCACGTGTGCCAAATTCCGGTCCGTAGGCAAGAAGACTGATCGTCAAACACCTTTTTGAGACGATGAAGAACTCGAGCGCCGTCTGTTTGGTCTGTACTGAGTTCCGTCGAATGACGCCGGGAATTCTTAAACAATGGCTCACAGCGGATCTTCAAAACGTCCAAATGTGCGAGGAAGTGCGCGCGTCTGTTGCTTTCTCCACACGCGATTGGTGTTGCCATCCATCCGGCTTTCCTCTGCAACAACCTGAGCGCAAGACTCTGTCTCCGACCGGTAGTCGTTGTCCATTTAAGAAAGACAGTATCAAGATCCGTGCGCACATTGACGGATGAATATTCCGCAGCGATGGGACTCTAGCGTTGACAAATCAGCAAGAGTGTCCAGCTGTGAGGACGTTCCCCCGTCTAAGTTTAGCAAATAATTGATTGCCACGTTCCTGCACAAGCTTTCAATCAGTTGCCACGTGTCCCGTGCAGCTGGGACATCATTGCGGAACACTTTGGCTTCATGCTCGTCTTTGGGGACATCGTGTGGATCCCGTTCACCTTCTCCATCCAGGTGCGTTCCTTCCCTTCTGCCTAGCCCTCGAAAGGTCAGGGAAATGGGAATGATAAAAGATGCTTCCATTTGAAGGAAACATTCATCCCGAACTACAAAAAAAGGAACGGCAATCGGGAACGAAGGTGCTTCCGTCTGTTATATTTTTACACCGGAAAGAAAACACCAAGAAAGAGGGATTCGGTGAGCTGCTGACTGTCTGCCGGTCTTCGGTTCACTCTGTTTGGACTTACAAGCAAGCAACCTCAATGCTTGTGGCTGAAACATCATTTTGATCTTGGATCAGAGGGGGGTCTTCTGTGTATCGTTTTTACCACACCTGTCCGTGCGAGCGTGCAATTCGGAAGCAAGGCTTTTGAGAAAAGTTTGCAAAGCTCTATGGTGTTGCCCATCTAGCGTGCCGGGTGTTGCACCGTGCGGCATCCCTTGGTTGAGGTGGCAAAACCTAAAACCAGGTCTTATAGTGTGGACGACCTCCCCCTGGCGACTGAAACCGTAACTTGAAGCACGGACAAGCAGTACAAAGCTCGGGAGATTGTTGGGCGATGCAAACGTCACAAATGACGTCGGCGCCTTCGCATTTCCGCGGATTGCTGAAGGTCACGTAGACAGTCATCTTGACTCTGTTCGGGAAACGATTTTCATCAGGAAAGATGAGCTTTAAAACAAAGACTTGCCGGGCAGCAATTTCGCTGTTACAGCCGCCGCAATCGCAGCACCTGCGATATCTCTGGCGACCACGGGGGTGATATACAGGCTTCCCGGGTCGCCCGGATCCCATCAGTACCTCTCTTCGCAGGGCTGGTGGCTTCTTCAACACGACCCGCCCCTCTCGCCGTTTGCCGCTGCTATTTTAGTCGCCCTTTTCCTAGCTGGGTAAGTTTCTTAAGTGGGCGTCCTGAGGCTTTTAACGCCTCGGCGACCAGATGCCGCAGAAATGGGCATGTTGGTCGCTGAGGCCCAACTCCAAGATGCAATAGAGTCCGTCTGATGAGAGTTGCCACTGGTGCGCTTGAAATTTAGACGCCTCTTCAACTGGACGTAAGCTAAGCTTGCTTTTCCTTTCATCCCTTTGATTGCGGTCCTGAAGCTCTCATAAGCGAACATTCGATCTTTTCGTCAGAGTCAGGCTTAAAAGCCACCGAGCGTGCCTCTCCGAAGCTTAAAACCCGATCGAGCCGCATTTTTTAATTTTCATCAGGGGTCGCTCGTCGGCAAGCCCCACGTAAAATAGCGTAATGGGCTTTCTGTCCGGCGCTTAGGACTGACGTCATCTTTGATGCAAGTAACGCAGATGTGAGCGGAAGTGTCTTCTGTCTGCTCGTTAGCAGCAACTCTCTCTCAGCACAGCGGCTGTTTCGGCCCCCGTCAACTGCCGCCGTCCGTGCTTTTGAGGAGCAAAACAGTTCGGTAGCCAGAATGGCTTTGTAATTTGAGATTGGCGTAGGTGAGGAACACAAGCCTGTAACTCTCATAGAGCGTACGCTGACGTTTGGTCCTTCAAATCCTTGTAAAGCTAGAAGTCGTACCTTCCGCAGGTACGCCATCTTCCGGGGTTGTAACAGTCAAAAACACGAGTTCAAGCGGGACCCGACAGCCCCCATATGGGGCCGTAAACCGGAGCTAGTGGGGGGCAAGCTTCTAGTCTCGGGCTACTGGTGAGCAAGACCCCCGAACCGATAATGAAGCTTTATTGTTGTTCAATCTCGATGGATTCACCCACGCCGATGCGGAAGCCTGTGGTCTCGGTCTTATTTGCGAGTCAAATCCCCCCCCCAGCTAGCACGGAAGCTTCCACTCTCGTTCTATCTATAAGTTGAACCTCCCCCCAGCCGATGCGGAAGCTTCTAGTCTCGTTCTTCTTTTCAGTCGCACATCCCCAAACTCAACACGGAAGCTCCCAGTCTCGTTCTGTTCGTGGGTTAAAAACCCGTTAGCCATAACGACGGCCTCTAGCCTGCATATTGCCATAGGAGCACCAAACGCACATTCCGTCAAGGAGCTCCTCTGGATATGTGGCTGCTCATTACTGGATGCGCATTACTTTGGCGTTTGGAGGAAACTCAGTCTAGACTTGTTCATAACCTCTGGGCAGCTGTTTTGGATCTTTTATCAGTTCTGGTCGCCGTCAAGATCCGCGGATAATAACTGTCTAGGGACCTTTTTCTGGGGCAGGGGCCTTGCGCGGAAGTGTAACTATCTGGGCGATCTCATGCTCGCCTTCTCTTACTCGCTGCCATGCGGTTTCAGGTCAGGCCTTTATTCTCTTCCCGCGTTTCTGCTTGCTTTGGCTCTTTTCATCCTCATTGAACGAATAGCACTCTCTTACGGCATTCCCGTGGAAAACTGACCCGTTGACCATGCCGCAATCAGCGTATACTGGGATGCGACAGTTTGGCAGGTGTCGAGAATCAACAAACCCCACTTTCCGAAACTGTCATGCATACGATCTGCTCTAGTTTGAAAGCAGATGTTCTTAAGTCAAGCCTATGCCAATAATTTCTGACGACCTTCTCTCCTTTGCAGCTCCATCATTCCGTACTTCTATCCGACCTACCTTTTGATTCTTTTGATAAACCGTCAAATGCGAGACGAGGCCCGTTGTCAAGCGAAGTACAAAGAGGTGTGGACAGAGTACTGCAAAAGAGTTCCTTATCGGATAGTGCCGTACGTCTTCTAGGATTTTTTGAAAGAATAAACTAAGCTTGGAGTTGGACAGTCTCTCTAAGTAGAGTAGAAGGCTCTAAGAGCCTGGTAAAAGTTGACAGTTCGTACCTCAGCAAGGTAGGAATGAGACCGGGGTAAGTGCGGCACGGGCGCATTCGAACCATTGAAAGTTAGGCTTAGGCTGTGAGCTCTACACGACTCACTGCAGACAATTGTGTTGAGGTCCCTTTGTAGATTGGAGCTAAGGCGAGAGATGGTCGAAAAAGACCGTATGTGAGCTTATCCAATTCTAGGCAGCCGAACTAGCTGCGTGATGATGTTGCAGCTCAAATCGGGCTCGTGGGGCCGCCTTTGAATTTGAACCGCTTCTGGGCCAGAAACTTGTCCAATCATTGAATTGTCCAGGCTGACGGTTCTGGCGGCCGCGCCTGCCCAGGATCTGCATGCATGCCAGCACCAGGCTTAGTTGAGTTCAGTTCCATCCCTGCGACGGTAAGCTAGGTTCACGGTTATCAGAGTTGCCATACTCACAAAACCCGTATTAGGTCAGTCACGTGGGTCATGCGCTCCCTGGGCGCCACGCAAGTTACATGATGATAAAGACTCGGCTTCTCATCAGTCACTGCAAGATATGTTCAAATGAATGAATGATCCGTATGTGGTTTAGTACATGCCATGTGATCATTTGATTGATTGATGTATTCAAGTTGAACCGTTGAATTCCCAACGTCCGTCACAAAGCATGCCAGGTACCTTCAAATCGATGCGCGACCCAACTTACCCGACTCTATAGCCCATGATACAGCATGCATCTTTGATGAATGCTGCATTTTTGAGATACCTATGTAAGTCTAACTTATATAGGACCTGATTGAGTCGACCGCGTTACGATCCGAGTAAGCTAAGCTCTCTTTGCGTTACCAATCAATCATTCTAGGTGATGGTTAAGCGAGACGGCCCGCGAGTAACTTAGCTGACTTGTACGGTAACACAATGACTTATAACACAGACCTATTAATTCGGAGAACCTAACTCAGGCGACTCATAGATCCGACTTACACTGGTCCTATCCAAGTTTTAAGTTTACCCTAAATAGGTATCTATTAAACACGTGCATCCGATCATGCCTGTATGTCAGGGCATGTTTTGTATCAGTACCACCAAGTATTATGCATGTCCATTATATATTGGCACATGCGTCGATCAAATGATTTCACATTCGAAAACAATAACGCGCGCCAACGCCGGTGTTGGCCGGATGCCACGCGTCTAGCTAAACGATTGAATATATAGACAAGATACATATGGGTGCATGGCTCGTGCGCGGCCATCAGACGGTCTGTAAGCGGCAACGGCACTAGGCCTTTGAGCTCTATCCGTCCCCGATTCAGCAACAACAATGCATTTCTAACGCGGTTGACAGTGTTAGTCAGCAAAGATAGTCGGAGTCTCTAAAACGTCTCTTGACAAATTGAATAATGCAGAAGGTAAACTGCAGCTAGCTGGGTTTAAGAGTATGAATCAATCTGACTGACCCCCCCGGTGGGGAATAGGGATTCGGCGAAAGCGCATCACATACGTTCTCGGGAACAGCGCGAGCGCCTAAACCGCTGCACAGACTTCCTCTCACTGCTGTCCGATTACTGTGCGTCTGGGCACTGTCAATGCCATCTATTTGATCCTTGCCCGTGCCTAGGATTATAATGCATTGCGTCTTGCACTTACATTGTGCCAAAATTTGTATGACGTTGATAAACTCGCACGTGACTACTGTCAAGGTATAAGATAGACTCATCGTTTTCCCTAGTGGAAGAGCAACTCAACTACAACTAATTTCGAGCAAGCTGGTGCCCACATTTCTCCAAGTTTAGGCTCCGTCTCGCTGTTTTGTCAAAACCTCATACTCGCTGATGGCCACAATGGAGCTCTTGTCCCCAAATTCACTCCGGATGCGCCGTCCCCTGAACTCGCTCCAAGGAACCGGTCTGTACCGAGCCGAACTCTGCAGAAATATCGAGGCAAGCTCACACTGTTTCTGGCCCTTGAACATGGATGCTGATTATGATGGGCTGGTTAGAAATATGTTAGAAATGTGCCCAATAAGCAAACTTGGGCGGTAACCAGCCTTGGAACGAGGTTAAAGGCCGGGTTACTTGTGCAAGACCATAATAGTCTGGTATAAGCATGATCAACATCCGATACGTCTCCGGGAGAAGCGATTCAGTCAGCACAGTTATCCTTTGGCAAAGGCTGTCGGACGTCAAACGAATATAGCAAACACTAGAAAAGGATTCAGAAACGCTCTGAGCATTGGGAAGATTTCGCCCGCTTTGTTGTGAGGTAAGTGCAGGGAGCGAAGGACGTGATCCGAAAAGGCTAGTCTTTGAAGAGCGCGCAAAGTCCGTTCGACACCAAGAAAGGCTGAATACACCGGATCACAGACACTTTGGTTTGAAGAGTCTTGATTGGACCTGACAGACACTCCCTGAAAATCGACGGCTCTTGTGGACTTCTTCCGGCATTCAAGAACCTCAAAGAGTCGGCAGGCTCAGGCCTCGCAACGCGGCGGAAGGAAGCGAAACAGAGCGGAACGGGCCGAGAACGGAGCCAACGGGACGAGAGAACCCTGACCAACTCAGACACAAGCCTGATCGCGCGAACCGCGTCTCAAATCAGGAAGGAAGTTAAAGGGCTCGAGAAGCGTATTTGAGCGAAACTAGCCGACGCAGCGGATCGGGAGTAAAAGCGGAAACATAACTCACCGTTGCGGAAAGAAGGAAAGCCGCAGTCTGCGCATCGAACGCCGACATCAGGAGGATGGGGCTCGAGAAGCGCTCCTGAACGCAACTGGCCAAGCAATACGGAACGAGAACGGAACGAGAACGGAAAGGATCTTACCAATGCAGAAACGAGGCCGTGGAGAGGCGCGATCTGCGCCTCGAACGCCGGCATCAGCAAGAAGGGGCTCGAGACGCGCTCCTGGCCGGAACTGGCAAATGGAGCGGCACGGAACAGGAACGGAACGAGAACGGACCTTACCGATGTAGAAAGGAGACCTTGGAGAGGCGCAATTTGCGTCTCGAACGCCGGCATCAGGAAGAAGGGTTCGAGAAGCGCACCTGAGCGGAGCTGGCAAACGCAGCGGAACGGAGCGAAAGCGGAAACGGAACTCACCGATGCGGAAAGAAGACCTTGGAGAGGCGCGATCTGCGTTTCGAACGCCGGCATCAGGAAGAACGGGCTGGAGAACCGCTCATGAGCGACACTGGCGAAAACCCGGTGGTATTATAAATCCCGTTTGTGAGAACCTGCATAGCATAATGGCCGTACGTTGATCAGCATTGATTTAGCAGATGAGCGATGCTTGGAGACTCGTTTGCTTGTAGACAGTTGCCGAGCCCAGATGCCGATTCAGAGGGATTCGGGACAACAGGATATAAATCTGCCGGAGAACTTCACTGAGAGGAGAATCAGGAAAGTGTACAACGGAGGCGATCGGTTGATCGCGTGTGACTCGTTACGTCCATGTCCGATGAGTCGCCCTTCGGCCAATAACGGCAACGATCGGTCAAGACAAAAGTGCAAAGGCGTCAAGCTTGCTCTGACGCCCTTTTAAAAGAGAGCGTCGAACCATGTGGCTAAGTAGCAACAGCAAGGGAGTAGATACGGCTTTGAAGTCGCCACGAAGATCGTACTGACATGGGCTGGAAAAGTCCAGAACAACTTTGTACGGCGTTAAGGAGCCGGAAAAAACACTTTCCCAAAAACCCAATAGCGCGATCTGTATGCAATGGGGCTATAATTGCTGGCACGTGCTATCCCGTTTCGTATCTTCAGAAAAGCCAAAGCGAAAGCGGCGAAACAAGCAGAGAGAAAACAAAAAGTTTGGTTCTGAAGAAAACGAAAGCGAATGAGCAGCTGCCGCGTGCCTGCAACATATCCCCCACGTTGACGACGAAGTGGCCCTCTTTCGGTTCGATCGTCACCCACTCGTCATCCATCATGACCTGCAATCCCTCCACGCCGTTCTGCTGAATGATGCTGAGGAGACCCGAGTCGGTATGCCTATAGGCGAGGAAAGAAGATTCAAGTTACCGTTGCTAAAGCATCGCTACGACCTGCTTGTCGGTCTCATGATGGAAGAGAAGCCGACTGCGTGCGGTCTTTATCTCAATATGAAACCAGCATGTTTTGAAGATAGAAAATTCTCAATCAAAGTGACACGAGCAGATTAATGAGCTTGCAATTTGTAGGGCAGTGAAGAGGTAAGGTGAGGGTATCCCAGATTATTGGGATGCGTTCAATAAATCACCGTGCGTAGAAAAGAGCGAATTCTGTGGAGATCTGCGAGAGCGAAGTCCACGAAAAAGTAGAGCGTGTATCGATCTCTTCCGAGTTTTGCTCTTGCTTCCACCAGACAAGTATTGCATAAAAGGAAGGAAAACCGTCAAAGATAGGAAATAAACCACGCGTTCATATGCCCGGAAGTGAAGTGAGTCTACATCTCTTTCGGCCTGTTAAGCTTGTTGTCCCAATCAGCAAAGTTTCAGAGACTCAAACGAAATGAAGGACTATAAAAAGAGAGGAATCGGACTCACGAGTTGTATCCGAGGATGTGATCCGGATCGGGGCACCGGGGATACTTGACCACCCGCAACAGACTGTTGTGGTTTGCGCAAATCTTAGACGCCAGGACGGAGGGGCTTTCATTTGTTGGCAGACTCTCGAGGATCGCGGTCAGAAGAGCAACTGAAAGGCGCTCCATGTGTCGGAAGTACGCTTCTAAAGTAACCCTGCATCCAAGAGCAATAAGTACTCGGCGATTCAATCACCTGCACCGTTGAGCGCATTTTACCCAGATTGACCAGAATGAGTATCACTGAAAGCAGAGCCCGTCAAACTCAAAGAAATTGCTTCCTCACTGTTTGAAACGTCCTGAAAACCCTGCAAACCATTGCGATGTTCATTACTATCTCTCCATGAGGTCGTTTCAGCGGTTGAACCCAACCTTTGGAAAGTCATAACCGGCTTTTAGATCGGATCCAGGATCTCCGTGTTTTGAGACCTTAAAGAACATACAGAGTCGTATCTCTTCGCTGACTGAAATTGTAACGTCCTAGCACTCTCGCCGATTGGCAGAGCAAAGCGAGGTAAGAATCGCGCAGAACTTTCTCAAGCAATCTCCTGCAGAGTAGCGCTCACAATGATCGAGTCTGGCGACATTGCCATACGCGATCCAACTGCCAAAGCTTCACCTGAATCCCTCCAACTCGCAGGGCCACTTCGCAACCCCTCCCAGGTTGTCCTGGTAACCAACCCTCTTAACCCATGGTTTCGGCCCGACGTCAAAGTACTCCGCCCAGTTGCTTATGCTCTCCAGGCCGTTAACCTCCCGGTCATGGTAACCGTAAATGTTGTCGAACGTGCGAGTGTAACGCTTTTTGACGGCTTTTGGGAGGGCGAAAAAAGCTTGCTCCTGTGTTTGAAGCTGGTGAAAGGTGGACGGGGAAACGGCGTGATTGCAAACCTAGATACAGCGGAACGGAACAGACGAGCGGAATGAGTGAGCAGAACGATTCACAAGGAGGAGCGGAGTGGTCGTGCAAGTTGAAAAGCCTCTTTCCGGATCGAAGGTGCTGAATCAGAGTGAGGGTCGTTATGATTGACCACTCAAGACAGCGGAAAGAACGAGCGAAAGCACTGAACGGAACGAGCGGAATAACGCGCTTTTAAGTGAAGGCCATGGGAAGCCTGTATGTGCTTTCAAAGCTGTCGGACAAGAAAGAAAAGATCGCTGTAACTTGAGAACTCAGGGAACGGAAAGTACGAGCCGAATGAGCGGACGAATGCACGAGCGGAGCCGAAAAAGCGAGCGGAACAAGCCAATAGACTGAAGCGAAAAGATATATGCAAAAGAAAGAGCTCGCATTTTTCGCACTGAAGCTGCTGGTCCAAGGAATGGGGGCCCAAACGAGTTCCGCGAATCTGAGAAGCGCACTGATCGATCAAGACATGGGAGGATATGGCAGCACGACTGAGGGGGAACGGGAAGGGAGATCGCATTCAAGAGATAGGATACCTAGGTCATCTGTATAAGTGAGTCGACGATGTGTTCGGTGAAACAGTCTGAGCTCAATGGTGCTGACAGAAGGAGGGGGGCATAAGTTCGATAATCTTGGAAGCGGAACTGGCAGATTGCGACCAGGACTATTGTGACTCTGTAAGTCGAGGTCATGGATTTATTCGGTCAGATGCAGCGCGGCGCCTCAGCCACTATTCGTCAGGGCAAAAGCGCTTCTGTTCTGAAGGTCGAAGAGTCGTTTCAACCGGCTCAGATTGCACTGAGATCATACTTTAACCACAGGCGGACAAGAGGGAACACCCGAGTACAGACTCACCTGCAAAAACCCCCACCGCCTGCAAGCTGCCCCAATATCGCGCACCACTTTCGCCCTTTGACAAGGGTCCTGGGACCACAATCCTTCCAAGTCTACGACTGGAATCCTCTCCCCCCAAGAGGAACAAAAGCGGTGCGGTTCGACTTTCAGAGGCCACCGAAACGAGGGCAGGTCGTCATTGCCAATGTCAACAATGGCGTCATTTTCTGTCCTGTCTGCATTCTGTTTGCCAATGTTATTGAGAGTATCACTACTCTCAAGCCCAATTCTACATCCCAGGGCACCAAGAGAAAGTCGTGGGCTGTTTTTAGCAGAGCTGGTCGACACCTTCAGTGGCGTCATGTGTGGGCTGTCTACAATAGAACCACTGGTCAACCACTGGGTTGTGACTTTTACGCACCCTCCCGCAGCCATGGCTGCAACAGCGGTGGTTCAATAAGTAAAACCTTGCTGATACTCTGCTTCGTCCGGAGTGCAATCTGCAGTCGACCTCAGCTGCTGGTCTCAAGCGATGAGCGGGTGACTCGTTACATGGAGCTCAAGACAGTTTTACCATCAAAGATACTCGAGCTGGCAGCTTTCAGAACAGCGCAGTAAGTTACAACCTTATCCCAGGCAGGGAATGTCGAGGTCACGTAAGATCAAGCCTTACAAGACAGAAGCTCAGGGTATCGCAACTGGTATACGACATGGCAGCTGGGCCTGTATGCCACTGAACATGAGACCCAAGCATGACACCTTTTGAAGCAAACCGACTCTATCAGGCGTCTAAGTTCTTACGGTCAGATAACCTATTTTGGTTATGCACAACAACGCATTTGCATGTACTGTACCCTTTGAGAACCACCAGCTACGAGTGAACACCTTACTTTGCGCCCTTATCCCATGCAATGTGCAATGTGGCTGCCAGTCCAGCAGGTCTTTCGTGCATTCTCTGCTGTCGTGGAGAGAACGAGAAGCTGTTCAAGGAGAACAGAAAGTGGTGAGCTGATTGAAAGCTGACTTGCCAAGATCTCGCCGCTGTTGTATCCGTGACCTTTGTATCCGTGACCTTTGCATGCGCCCATCTTTCGCAGGTACCTAAACGCCCAGAAGTCTACCGTTCCAGCCCCCAGAATCATTAATGGCAGCATTGCATGCAGTGCTGCACTCACTCACAGTTCCGTCTTCGTGTAAGCTCAGCTGGGGCCTGCTTCCTATAAGCTCAAGGAAGCAGGCCCCTGGCCCAGCCGTGAGATCTAGCAAAGGAACTTCTCAGCTGCTGAGCTGGACCAGCTGAGCACTATACTGTCGATCGCAGCTTATCCGACGGACATCAGCTCTTTAGATGACATCACAGAATCAAGCGGCATGCAGATAATCTCTCCACCCACGAGGGACCGCCGGGGGTCCGAAACATGATTGTAAAACCATTCAAATTAGATCATGATCATGACTATAGTAATAAAGTTGACTTCAGAGCACTAGCGTATGGTGACATGTTTAACTACTACCATCGATATCAAAAGCTTCACTGAAGATGATCCACCATTTGCAGCAGGCAATGTACCGTCCAACATGATTGCAGAAAAGTTTCTGAGTCCTTCCTGCGCATGGCTCTTCCAGTGCATGCGGGGAGGTCATGGTCAAGCCCCCAGCGCAAAGATCAGTGGAAGTCGACGCATTAATGTGACCGGACACTGAGCGGCTGCAAACGATCAATATCCTCAAAGTGCCAGTGGAGAGAATCTTCTAGCCGTCAATGATCAGAGTTCACACCAACCTATGGGCGCCTCTGTAAGAGTCTCTTCCATGTACGTCGAATCAAACTTGAATTGTGTGAAAGTTTGATGGGGCGGTGCGAAATCGAATGATCCCCCATAAGACGATCCTAGTACCTAAGTATCCGAGGCAGATAAGGTGACCGTCCAACCTGGTGGACATACTATGCGTGACGGGTATATGACGACTCGCGTAGCCCAACTATGGGCCGCACATTGCATGCGAGCTCGGCTAGAGCTAGCTAGACTGTTGATCGGCATCAGTTGAATTCAAGAACCATGCAGATAAATACAGGTAGATGCCAGGGACACGTACTTATAGCGTCTTGATGCCTCGTGCCAAATGGCGACCACCAGGCAGCAGCATGAGGCATCCAATATCACAGTGAGACGGACATGCTGATGGACATCATCATGGCATCATCCAACAATTGAGCAGAAGCCGGATACGGTAACACAATACAAGAAGCTGACTGATATATACTGAGCCACTTGCAGGCTCTCCAAGTCCATGCGAATTTGAAAGGCCGATCGCAGAACAAACAAGTGTGCAAACGACCCGATGCTGACATCCGAAATTTCATCCGCCTTGAATTACATGACATGCGACAGAGTTGCGGGCTACATTCGTTTACATGTTGGTACTCCGAGCAGCCACTCCGTCAAAAACCATGCATATCAACGAACGAACGGCGCTGCATGGAGCAAGTAGCTTTGGAGAAACAATATTTGTACACAGGTCTTCCGCACTTGTTCTTAGGTGTTGGTTGCCCGTGTGTAGATGAGCTGGGTAGCGTGCTTGCTGATGGGGCGGATGTGACCCTGCTCTTCCAACGCCCTCAGCGCCGCTCTCGCAAGGCTCCCGTTTATCTGTATGAAGAGAGTCAGCATGTCAGATCCTTTTATTCTCGTACATGGAATGCAAGTTACATCATGGCACCAACCCGTAGGCTGCCACAACATTCCTGAATGGCTGGCAAAAATCTCCCCGTAAGGTGTGAACTTGTCTAGCCAGTCCTAAGAATGTGCCTAAACCGCACCAGGAGAAACGTATCGAATTTTCATTGAATGTCTCTGACCCATGTTTTGTAATCAATTCATATTTGGGAATGCAACCTGCTCAGAAAAGTACAGCACTCTGATGGATAACTGAAACCAGACAGATAAAGACCTTACACCCTAAGAGACTTGGACAGAAGGTCACCACTCTTCAAGCCTATACCATGACCCCCGTACAGGGGTCCAGATTCGACAAGATAGACCAACTGACCCTTCTCGCATTCTGCTCCACTTATCCCTTTTGCTGCACTTGACTTTCCTGAGGAGCCCAGGTAAGGAACACTCTTGAGCTGCTTTCACCACCCAGTGCGTAACAATACACATGCCACAAGAACTACATGCGACGACAAACTTCCTCACTTTGATCACTTTGCCTGTGCAACCAACCGAGTCCATGACCAAAAAAGACAACAAATACGCACCTCAAGAAGGTCAGACCCATGTTTCAATGCTTCGGTTTTGACTTAGCCTCAGAGAGCGAATCGACTTTCAGCTTGATCCAAAGTGGATCTTTGAATAACCAACGTACACATCCAAAAAAGACAACAGAGCAGATTGGATGCTTACCCTGAGTCTGTCACTGAGGACGGACGGGGTGATCAGCTTGTACTTGGGGACTTCAGACAGCAGCTTATCGTATGACGCCTTCTCGAACAACACCTGGTTGTTGACCTGTAGCCAAGAAAGTAATCGCCAATTTAGCCAATGTTCCCCACTTTCGACCCACTTCCAGCGGCCAAGTATGGTCTTGCTTGGGACCAACTCCGAAAGTGGTCTTGTGCGAAGCGCTTCTTTCGGGTTCAAAAAATGCTAAAAACGATGAACATAATGAATGAACCTACCAGCAGCCTGATTCGAAAAAACCGAGACCCAACCACATAACTACAAGCTTCTTCAGCGTGTGCTGGCGCAACTGGTTCGCTTACGGTTGCAACTCCAGGCCCACTAATGAGAGCAAAAACCTGAAATCTTCTGGCTGGTGTCCGACCTTCAATGGGCCCGACTTTTTTCGTCCGAAACGTCAACAAGGCTTGTGTTGAGAAACAAGGACAAACAGCCAGGGAACGGACACCCTTGACCAACACTATATGTGACTCACACACAACATTTCGCCGACTGTTCATGTCAAAATGCGCGAACAGCCTGCCCTCTCTCTGGAAGTAACTTGATCAGTTCCAAAAACATGCCTCGTCCTGCTTCTTTCTCATTTCTTTGCTGGTGTCGATGTAAGGAAGTATGCGGAACTCTAGAAGGTCGTCTCTGGTGGTGACATCTGATACTCCGTGCAGGAAATCAGAGCGAGCCAGCAAATACGGATGCGTTTACTGGTCTTACCTTCTCCTTTTGCTTTCCCTTGGACCACTTCTTCTTCTTCTGCTTGCCGCCCCCGCTCTTGGCGGGCTTGGCAGCCTGGGTAGGCTTGGCCGCCTTGGGAGCCTGCCAAAAGAAGGGCACGCCTGGTTACACCATGATTTCCAGAGGTCTAACGAGGGGGGGTTCCAGACTTTTTCGGTCACCAGCCTGACTTGACTGATCCTTGAGCGGGACCGGTGTTATCTGAGTTGGTATTGGGAAATGCAACCCAGCGGGGAACCTTTGGTTGCCAATAACAGTGCAGAATCCTAGGTGCAATAGGTTGTCAGTACACCCAGCATCAAACATGACAAAGACTGGACAAGCGAAACCGCTGTTGAGAAGTGTACTCAGGGGATGGCTGCTACCTGTGCCTCTAAACCCAGCTTCTTTCAAGGAGAACACTCAGGAAAAACCTGCGTCGATAACTGCTCGCATACCCTGTTATGATGATTTAAAGTAGCCCTTCGTAAGGCAGTCTCGTATCTCTTAGGCGATCTAGGCCATCCCCTCGTGCAAAGCAGAAACACGGATGGCGCTCTGCAGCAGACCCTTCCGAGGCTGCTGTGTTTATCCCTATCCAAGCGTAACCCTGACCCTGTTTGTTTGCAGATTTTCACGCCCAATCTCAATAGCCTAGGGCACCTGATTGCGGGTCAACTATACAGCGAGTAACATGGTAACGGTCCTAAGCAGTGATCCAAGGCTACCGACCGTATCCTGCGGCGGCAGCGTTTGGAACTGTCTTCTAAAGATGCAATCTTACACAAAGCTCAATTTCCAAACACGTCTAATGCATGGACCGGAACCGCAGAAACCAGGAAAAAGTTGGCCGGACCATAAGGAACCTCCGTGCGCACACAGAAGAATACAGAGACATCGCCAGCTTGGAAGGACCTGGATAACGACTGGATACCATTACCAACTGATGACCAGCAAAGTACACAGAAATCAAGCCAACTTTCTCTGCCCCATGGCTAGGCCGGAGCGAAGGGGTTATATTGAACCTTTTAACACAATAAAGCCGGGGGCTTCAGTAGCCCTACCGTCCTAATCGCCCATCTTGCGCCCCAACCTCGACCATTATCAACTGAAAGCTGCCTTCCCTTTCTTGATCGGAGAGATATACAATAGACCAGCCGCATCCCGTGAATGATTCCTCTTGTGAGGTTTGTGACCGTGTAAGCTTCCTCTTTCTATATCCATTCGGACCGTACATTGTTGAAGACCTCTGCCAAACACACCCCACGTTACAACCGCCCCGCAAACCAAGAAACAATTCAGATGATTGTAATGAGTACCATGAGGAGGAACAAGCACGAGCCTCACCATCTTGCAAGCAGCCCCAACGTCCCTTCCCCTGGGCGCCTCTTGACGTGCTCTGCCTACTTGGCTCGCGTGAAAGAGGGAGGAGGAGACGCGAGCAAGCGAGAAGAACCAAATTGGAAATCGGGTTTGAAGAGAACAGTTTCTGTTCAATCCCAGACCTGCACATTCACTCCCCGGTATCAAATTTATAACTCTCAAGACAGATAATAGTAAGCCAAGATAATAGTAAGCTCCGACTAACACTAAAAACCCTAACCTGAAATGAAGCACCCGCTCCGCACCCGTACCCACCCTAACCACCATACTAACCCTACCCGTCACAGTGCGGTTACCTTACTATTATCTGGGCTAATACTATTATTTTTCTTGAGTTTCATATCAAATTTCCCCCGAGGACATGTTTTAGCAATTTAAGTGTCAAACAACGGATACGGAAACGCCCCGTTGAGTTGAACACTCAAATACTTGAACGGAATTGTCACAGTCTCTTCCGGGCACACCCTAAAAAGTAGTTTCCTCTAACCCCAGCGTGGAATCACAGGCTGGCCGGTCAGTCTTGACTCTTGAACCAGCAAAGTTCCCACTCGTCTCCAAAATCTGCTAGTGTTGGTGCTAGTTACACTGAAGTCTGAATCCCACGTCTTTTCTGCCATCATCGGTGATGCTGGAGTGGTGCAATCCCTACAATCCTGGCCATTTAGAAGCTGAACTCAAGAGCAGAAGAATCCTACATTGTGACGACCAGGTAGCTGGAGACACCGAACACAAAATGAAGCAGACTTTGACCACCTTTTAGCAGCAGCGGTAACGCTGTGGTCAACACCTTCGGCAATCAGGTAAGGAACTTTCCCTGAACTTTCCCCTTCACGTTGCTCTTCTCCAGAAGTTGCTTTAGTTGCTTTGGTTGCTATATGTCCCCAGGCTTTGAGGTTGTACCATTTGTTCATGGTTCGCAACAGCACAACTTCCGCTCCGTGTTGATCGCTCCATCGATTACAGTACATACAGACAGTCAGTACAATCCCTCAAGAATTTCAAACTCCTGAATGTTTTGAATTGCTTGTTGGGAGAATACCTTTGGTGGTGGTGGTTGCTTGAGGTTGGAAGGCCAGTATGCCCCTGTATGCTTGAAAACTGATGGTCAATGTGGTTGCCAACCGATTTTAGATCGACTCCTCCTGAAGCCAGTCTCCTCAATGCTGGTTCAAGATAAAAAGAGTCGAATTTGAACGGGGAATCTTATTGCAGTACATCTATCGAGTTGACTTGATGGAACCTTCTTTTTCCACAGAAGTCCTACTTGAAAAGATTCTAGTCAATAAAAGAGTTCTTGATATTTCTCCTATAGCTGCGGGAGAATCTCTATCATTGATAATGCCTCTCTAACACTCTCCCTTGTCTCCAGGTTTCGCAGCCATGGCTCTCTGCGTCAGCCAAGCCTTTGGGCCAGTAACTGCTGGGTTAAGTGCGGGTTACGCCTCTAACCCCAGTGACAAACGACAGCCCCTTCTGCCCCCTTCCCACTTCTGCCACCACCTGTCCTCTCTTGTTAGACGTAACCGCTGTCTAAGCCTTCAAACCCCTTCTGGGACTGGGCACAATAGGAGATGGAATCAAAGGCGCTTATACATTAGTAAAGTTCAGTGTTCTGCGCAAGATGAGGGGGGCGAGTTTGGCAGCGAAGCGGCCCCCCAAGAGGGATGGGAACGAGATGCGGCGGCCGCGCGCGTAGCAGAACTGGCGGAGAAAGCAGGGGCGGCCGGGGTGGGGCGTCGGAAGCTCAGCTTCAAAGCGGTGACTGCTGCAGCCGAGGGCGTTAAAGGGGGGGGTGGAGATGGCAGCGCTGAAGGTGCTCCGGAAACGAGGGGTGTTGGAAGGGGCGAACGGCCCGCCGTTCGGGAGACGTCTTCTGAGGGCAGAAGTGATATTGCAGACGGAGGGTTTGGCAAGGAATCTCAGAGGGGGGGCAATGACTTTGGTGAGAGGTTGGTGCAGAGACCTAGGGCCAAAGACGAAGAGGGGTTTGGTGGGGGCTTAAGAAGACGACAGGAGCGATCGCCAGTTAGCGGCACTGGGTTGGATGCTCGCAAGGGGCCATGGGTTAGGGGAGGCGCGTCAACTGAAGAGCCTCCCAGGAGCAGTGGCGATGACTTCTTCAGGGATGTCGACAACGGAATGGAAGCTCGATCGAGGGGAGGCTATGGTGACCGAGAAAGCGACGGGTTTGCACGAGAGGGTGCGTTTAGGGAGCGCTTTGACGAACTTGGGTTTAGATCCAACCGGGATTCTAACCGAGAACGTAACTTTGAGCGTTATGAGGATCAGGACAACTTCGAGGGCAGGCGGGAGGATCGACGTTCCTTTCAGGGGGGTGCCAGAGGTGCCCGAAATAGTGGGTGGGAAGAGGAAGGTAATGATTTTGACAGGGGAGAAACGGATTACGGCTCCGAGAGTAGCCGAAATGTGTGGCGCCGTGACGTGGGGGTGGTGGATAATGGTGGAGACTTTAGGCCCCCTCCGCCAAAGCCGGTGTGGCGAAACCAAAAAGGGGGGGAAGACATTCTGGGAACCAAGGCGTTGGTTGCTCGAGAACGCGCGGAAGCGGACGGCGAATTGGGGGGGAGAAGAGCACAAGAAGACTGGGCCGATCGACCCCCCCGGAACGGAAGGGGACGCGGGGGTGACCCGAGGGGGGCTCCGTTTAGGAGGGACCGCATGGGGGTGAGAGCTTGGAATAAGCGGGACGATGCTCCTGGATCGGAGTGGGGGGGTGCACCTTCTAGAAGCCAAGGGCGCAGGGGGGGCGGTTTTGGGGGGGGATCAGACGAGTGGGAAAATGAAGCTCGGGGGGGGGAGCTGGGAAGTGACGAAGAAGGGGGAGGGGAGATCAGCAGTTGGGGCCCGAGAGGGAACACTAAGAAGGTCGGCGTTAGAGGGAGTGTCTCAGGTGCCGCGAAGGGAAGCTTTAGCCGGGCCCCCGAGGGGCGCGTTGGGAGACGATCTGAAGAGGCGGGAGCGGGTTTCTCGCGAACTTTTAACGCTCCGGGGGGTCCGAGAAGCGGAGACAGGTTTAGACGGAGTGAGAGGGGAGACGCGGTTCCAACTAGAGACGAGTGGTCGCGGCCCGAGCCTGTCCAGAGACGGTCCGAACCCCCCCGTGGATTTTCGGACGCCTCTCGGTTTTCGTCCGAATCCCCTCTGAATCCGCCGGATTCTGGGCGGAATCCGTCCGGATCCGCTCGGGACACGGGCCGGCGACCGTCCGAAAGCGCTTGGAGGAGTCCTTTCGCGGCCAACGGCGCGGACCAAACTTTTGTCCGCAGAACGAGAGACGGGGGACGCGAGTTTGGTTATAACGACTACCCGGCTCCCGACGGAGAAGAGAGAACCTCTCTGTCCGCAGAGGAGAAGAAGGACCGCCGAAAGATGAAGCAAGTCAAGTTGGAAGGGCCTGGGTGTTACGGTTGCGGCGCGAGGCTACAAGTGAGCTACCCGGGGGGGCCAGGTTATCTGCGGCCCGATGTATACGAGCTGGTGAGGCGTTCGCTTATGAATCTTCAGTCTTCAGTTTGACTCCGAAATGGATTGGGTAATGGTTGGAAGCGCAGCGCTTTTTGGTGCTACCGCCGTGTCGAGTCTCCGTTTTAATCTGCATTTGTGGGAGACCAGGTTGTCTGCGGTCGGATGTATACGAGTTGGTGAGGCGTTCTCTTACAGCCGTCCGGATCTGATTGCCGGTTTGCTGTCCCCGACTGACCCAAATTTTGAAAAGTTTCTGAGCCGGCTGATAAGAGATTCCGTGGCTAACCGTACAAGATTGTGACGTCTGGTCAGACCATAGCTGGAATCTATCTAGATCTATGCTCTGCGAGGTTGGAACGTCCAACTTTGGTCCGACTCTGTTTGATCGATTGGTAGTGTTCAAGTCGATTGCAGAGACCTCTATAAATGCATACGATGAGAACAGCTTCGAGCGTCTAGGTTGATCGAAAACGCTGACTGATGGTCCTCGAAAGTGGGTCGGCAGAGCTCGCAACCTGAGTCCTCTTACGTAAAGTTCTGTCGTATTATGAAGCTGATGAGGAGCTTGATAATCCAGGAGCTTTTCTGTCGCTTAGTTGCTCTGGTCGTAAACGTCGAACCGAGAACGTTTTGCCAAATGGCTGGGCAGCGACTGATTGCAGTGCTCGCGCTGAGACGCTTTGATGCTATTGTTGCGTGATCGCCTCAAAAAATGAACAGACCCAGAATCACGAAGTCCTAGGAACCGTGCGCACGCGTCTACCAATCGACACTAGCAGACTCTCAGACCAGAAATCCGTGAATATGCAGAAGCGCACGCACCGACAACTCGGAGAAACGCTCTGCGGGCGATGCACGGAGTTGGCGCACGGGAAGATGGTGCCAGCTGTCGGCGGCAACGGCGGGCACGGCAGCGGGGGGCAGCAAGAGGGCTACGTCATGGCGGAAGATTTGCGGGAGCAGCTGAAGCCGCTCAAGCTGAACAAGGTCTTGGTGGTCAAACTGGTGAGGTCTTGAAGTCTGGGTTTAAATTCTTAAACTTTTAGACACCTTCGCGGTTGGGGGATTGCTTAGTTTTGAAGTTAAACTTTAGACACCTTCACGGTTGGGGGGTTGCTTAGTTTTGAAGGTTATGGAAAGGTTCTCGAAACTTGCAAGAGTTCAAAATCGAGGTCAGCAGGAGAGGTACATCATGGCGGGAAATCTGCGGGAGCAATTGAAGCCGCTCGAGCTGAACAACCCGTGGTCAAACTGGTGAGATGCACAACCCCTACTGTGATTCTCGAAAAGGTCTTGTGAGATACGTTCTTTCCTGGTTCTTAATCCTGAATTGGGGGAAGGACGACGGGTCACGTGAGAGCCCAGACACAATGGAAGCCGCTCAGGCTGAACAAAGTCCTCGTTGTCAGAGTGGTGGGTTAACGAAACCTTGATTTGAACGCTTTTCTAGACCTTAAGGTTCGAGGCTTCTAAATCCTCGATTGAAGAAAAGGAGGAGGGCTCCGTTCTGGCGAAAACGCCACGGAAAAAATGAAGTCGCTCAAACATGTAAAAGTAGGATAACCTAATATCAAGTCTGCTAAACACTGGCACAGCTACTGGTTGGCGCAGCTACTGAATTACGTTAGTGGCTGAAACAATAGGTTAAATTTGGACATCGAAATGGCGTGTTTCCGGCGTCTGATCCTCGCATCAACCCGGATTTGAAAGGCCTCTTTTGGGCGGTACAGGTTGAAATCATGGACTTCAAGGGATGCTTCCTGTTCAACGTTGGCGACCTTGTTGGCGCTCATTCTGTTGAAAGCAGAAGTTCTGCTTGGAGAAGGCACGAAGTAATCCATCTCGAACATAGGCGTCAAAGCCGATCATAAGGCTTTGTTTGTTCGCAGTATAGGTCGACAGTGCGGGCTTAACGGGAGCTTTTTCGTCCAAGGTTCGCTCTAACCCGATCATTCTGGTGGGCTTGAATGTCAGCTTCACATAAGACCTCCAGGACTCGCATTCTTGCCCTAACTCCAGAGTCCCACTTTTGACGCCGCTTTATGATCGTTTAGGCGGACTTCATCGGGACCTTCCTGTCCAAGGGGTTGGCGCGATCTGGTTGGCGCTAACCCGATTCTTTTACACACGTAATTGACATGCTCATAAAGAGTCAAGAGGCAAGCCAAAAAGCGTAATGTCTGTGTCTAACCACCGCGTTAACCCTGATTTTCTCCACGGTGCAGGTCGACATTGCGGACTTTAATGGGAGCTTCCTTTCCAAGGTTCGCGACCTGGTTGGCTCTAACCCGATCATTTTGGTGGGCACGAAAGTCGACCTCCTTCCGGCGGACACCGACTTGGAGGCGGTCGCAGACTGGGTGTGGGAGGCGACCGTGCGAAAGAAGCTGAAGCCCATCAGCCTACATGTGGTGAGTCTGCTCTATCACAAAAACCCTTAGTCTGCAGTCCTTCAAGTGGGCATGCATCTGGAGGTTTCCCATTTAGCCGGACGTGCGAGTTGGGCCCTGCTGAGACAAACGCATGGCTTTTTGTGTTTTTCTGCTCATTAGCGTGCATTTGGTGAGTCTGTTCTGAATTTCCGTGTCGAATCTTTGAAGTCCTGGATCTCTCCTGTTACCTGGACCGTTGTTAGAACCCCTTTGGGGGTTCTTTGGACATCGAAGGGTTACTTTTGAAAGAGAGGCACCGATCTGAAGTCGTTCTAGACTTGGTTAGGGAGGCGACCGTGCGAAAGAAGCTCAAGGCCATTACCATGCATCTGGTAAGTATGCGAGCAAGCTTTCTTCGCTTGGAAGTTTTTACGTCCTTCATCTGTTGGTTTGAGAGGTGACGACTGGTCTGAGAGGTGACGAATGCAATAAGCTCAGCACTTGGTAAGATTCATGCGGATGAAAGCGCTCGATACAATAGGGTCATCTGATTGCGGTCGCCCGCTTCGTGTAACCCTTCGCGTTCCGACTTTCTTTATACTATCTTTATCATGAGCAGAGATTTGACTCTCTATTTCTCCACAGATCTCGTCTTTGACCGGCGCGGGCCTTCCATCATTGGCCGCTAACATCCAAAGAGAACGGCAGGGCCGTGACGTGTACGTGCTCGGAGCAGCGAACGTGGGGAAGTCGGCCTTCATCAATGCGTTACTAGGTGAGCTTTCGTTCAGTTTTCCGAAGTGTTAAGTCCGTACTTCATATAAAGATGTAGATCATCAAATTCTAGTGTTCCAAGCTAAGTACACGTGCTCGGAGCAGCGAACGTGGGGAAGTCGGCCTTTATCAATGCGTTACTTGGTGAGCTCTTTCTGCCATTGAGTATGCTGCTGAAGAATCCAAGCTTTACATCGTTTTCGAATTCGGTCTGTCGTTCCTTGGAATGTATACGACCTCAGAGCGGCGAGCATGGGAAAGTCGGCCTTCATTAACGGGCTGCTTGGTAAGCTCTTTTTTTGATTTCCCATCATGCTTTTGAGGTCTCAACCTTGTCTTGGTCAGATTTCGATCGAGTCTGTCAGGTCCAGTGTTTCGCACAAATTGTACGATCTCTGGGCAGCAAACGTGGGCAGTATAGCCTTTATCAACGCGTTAACTCGGTAAGCTTTCGTTCCATGCTGCCCTTTCCCTTCTGCCGGTCGTTTTGGTGTACCCACAGTTTCTTAGGGTTCGCTTCAAAATTCTGGATTGTGAGAAGCCATAGTCTTGTCGTGCGATTCAGTGTGTGTCATGTCACTGTTTTTTTGCTCTTCCAGTATCTCAATCCTCTACTTTCCGCTCCCATTTTCGCCTGTTGTTCTCGTGTCTCCTCTCATTCGAGGGTTCCGTTGACCCCTCCTCTTTTAAACTGCAAGAACGACGAACAAGGCGCCGTTGGAAGCGATCCACTGAATCGGCAACCGCCTGATCGCATGAATGAGGTCCTTCCCCACCCAAATTTCATCTCGTTTGACGTCACCCCGTTTATTTTTCCCTGCCTTTGCTATCGTTCAAATGATGATACGACACCCAACCGCTGCAGCCGCCTGATTGACTCAGCGGTGCCCCCAATTGCTTTAGAACTTCTGCTGTTAGCCCATATCAATGATTGCCGTGATCTTTCCATTTTCTTACAGCCGAACTGGCGACGCGCGATCCGGCTGCCGCTGCAGCCCGCAGAAAGCGCCCCACCGAATCGGCGATGCCCGGAACCACTTTGGGGCCTATTCCCATTAATGCGTTTTCCGGAGGGGGCGAGCTTTTCGATACACCGGGCATTCACTTGCATCACCGCCTGGCGTCTCTGCTAACCCCAGAGGAGTTGGTTATGCTCACCCCGAGAAGGCGGTTAAGGCCCGTGGCCCCGACCATTGGTACCGTTGATCAAACAACGGCCCAAGGTAAGAAAATGAAGATCTCTTTTTTCGGGTTGATTTTGGGTGCGTTCCTCGCTGCAAATCAAAAAGGCCAATCGATAAATCCGGGCTTAGATGGGTACGTAAAGGTGAGAAGGAGTTGGTATGCTATCCCCGAAAAGGGGTTAAGGCGTGGCCTCAGCGGTTGCTACAAATGATTGAACATCGGCCTGAGGTTAAAAGAAATTGGGGAGTCAGACTTTACGTCCAAGTCGGCGACCATTGGGTCGAATCTCTGTCTTCACGGTCGCCCGACATATTGGCCACAAAATCAAACTTGTAACGTCACTGGGACGACTCAGGTCTCTGCCTATATCCAGTGGAAGCTACTTGGCAAGACGACTTTTCGAGAGCTTTGTACTCCTAATTTTCGAATCTAGAAGCAGCTGGATTTGAAGCCGACAACTGTGCAATGGTGGCTACTAATGTGCGCTGAAAGTTCGTGTCTCAAATTCTGGTTCCCATAACCCTGTCATACCCTCTCCGGAATATGGAATCTCTTGCTCTCTTTATCACAGAGAATGGAGCAGCCCCCCACACCGAGATGACTGCCCCCGATTCAGAAAACGGCGCTTCCGAATCAAACGGTTCTAACCTTACCCCCGGTGACTTTGTGGTCCTTCGACCGCATCCCTCTTGCCCCCCCCAAGCCATCTTCATCGCCCAAGTTTCCGCTTCGGGGGTGTCGGAAACAGCCGGATCCGAGGGGGGTGGAACGCTTCTCGCCCGCCCCTGGATGCCGAAACCCGTTCGAAGGGGGCCGAAAATGGATCTCTGGAACGATCCGTGGGGGCGGAAATGGGTGCCGTACGAAGGGGGGATGTTCGAACTGGCGCCCGATGACGTCATCGCCAGCTGGCAGTCACGTGCCAAGGCCCCAGAGGAGGGCGTCCCGGTCCCCCCGTTGGTGGCGGCGCGCGTGGACGAACTGATCCGGGGGGGTAACTTGCCTGCTCCGGCGTACCCCCCCTGGGTGGACGAGAGCGGAGAGATCGTGAGCGCAAAGGAATGGGGGGGTAAAGTGGGTGTTCTTGCAGGGGAGGGGTCCGCAAATATGGGCGATATTGTCCTGTCCAGGGGGGCAGTTTCGAGTGCGGAGAAGGGGGGATCGTTGCAGTCGGAGGGGATTGAGGGGACGACGTTCTTCTGGGGGGGAGTCGCGCGGGTCGACGTGCTTCAGGTGATCCTTGCTGCGTTTCCTCCCTTTTCACCGTAAATTGTGTTGCAGATTTTGGCATGCAATTTTTTTCGCAGCTGGTGTCTTATCCGGCTTGCAAAAACCCGGGCTCAACCGGCGAACGGGATGGCTCGTAACCCGATTTTAAGGTCGCCGGTTTGCCGTGACGTATTTGGGTTTGCAGCAACTCAGAAAGGGCTCAATTTGTCCACGCTTGTTTTCTGTTTCGTTTTTGAGCCAGCCTTCGCCCTTCTTTTGCCGTATCAGGTGCTGGGTAAGGGCGACCGAGACAGCGGCATTGCTGCCTTGCAAACGCCGAAAAGGTTGCTCATCGACGCCCTTTTTCAACAGCTCTTTGACCGTTTCTTGTGCAGGCACCGCCCGGCTTGCGCTTGTTCTTCTACGGCCCCCACACAGTGACGGTGCATGCCGTCGACTCCCAAGAAGCAGATGCGTTTTACGAGGTACGTCAATTCAACCCTTTGGCTCCAGAGATCCATTACGTTTTTGCTTTTTAAAAAGTTTTGCCAATCAGACTCTGTCAATCTCAAGAAAGAACCTGGTGTGGCGATTTCAGGTGGAAATTCTGATCCCGATTTTGACGTTCTCCACACCCGTGACCTTTCCTAAGTGGGAAACGTTAACCACGGTCTTTTCGGTGCGTCCGCATCCGCAACCCACGCTTTTAATCACCACTTAACCCCAAACATCCCTGGCCTTGTTTTCCAAGTGTCGGTCCATCGAATTGTCACACTTCATTGTAAACGTGATGGGCTGGTCTTCTGCCAACTTCGTTTTTCCGGTCTCCTGGAGAAAATCGCTGGTAGCTTCAGTCAACCAACATCCCGAAGTTGCGAAAGCTCGTATGTGCAGAAAGTTATTTGTTTATGGCTCGTATGTTTCTGTACAGGCAAATCTTTTCGAAAAGTTGACGCCTCCTTACAAGGACCGGGGGGCAAACTGGGACGGGCTCCCCTACAAGAAGGAGTGCAACCTCTACTCCGAGGATGACGTCAGGTGAGTGACGTCGGCGAGGAGTCCCGTGACTTCACCACACTGCGCCACTCGGCGGTTGCTGATTTCAGGACTCCTTGAACGGACGGGTCGGGGAAGAGGCCGATCCGCCAGATCAGCGCTTGAGCCTTCAACCGTGGCTGAAAACTCCGGCGACCTTTGAGCGGGAGCGCCTGCCAGAGTTTGTCAGATAGTCGCTCATGAACAAATTTGTAAGCTGGTTGAAGGGTTGAAGTCTAAGTCGGATAGACTGCGAGTAAGCGGTTTCAGTAGCAAACAACTCTTCAGGATGCCCTTCAACCCAAGGTTGAAAGTTGTTACAGCGAAAACAATATCTTTGATAAGGGAACTCGACACATCAACCTTGTCGCAGAAGTGAGGTTAGATAATTGACGTGGGGAAGTGAGCGGCAAGCAACTGAGGACGAAGAACATTCAGGCTCAGATACAAGAATTCTCTTAGGGGGACTTTCTGAAGCGGCAACAGAAATGAGAACAAGAGTCTTGCTAAGACGTGCTGGCCTGATTCTCGTCACATGCTGACGGGACCGCTGACGTCACTATGTCCGCATGCTGACGTGTCTCCTTCTGCAGGCCTGCTGGTGACGTCGTGGTATCGGGTTTGGGTTGGTTCGCGGTTGGGGGGGCGCCGGGCAAGCGGGGCCGCCGGGGGGGTTCGCAATCAAGCAGCCGGGGCGAGGTACGCATTCTTCGCTTGGTTCTGAGATGCTTTTTTCCGACTTCTGAGCTTTTTGAGTGCAAGCGTTCCATTCGTGCATCTGTCCAGGTTTAGAAAACGAAGCCATGTGGGCTTTGGTGTCCTAGGTGCTGAATTCCGACCGGAGGTAAAGCAAATTTCATCTCTGCAGGACTTTTCCCGAAGATTCTGAATTTTCAGCTCGGAACAGGAAGCTCCGCAAGTTCAAGGTGTTGTTGCATCATATCTTCGTGGTTTGATAGCTCCCCTGGTTTGTCCTTGTTCACTTAGAAGCAGAGTCGGTCAAATGCTTTCTGTGAAGTGCCCCACTGAGCCAAAGCGCCTCAATCTGCAGTTGCCCGTCCGTTCGCAGCGTTGGTTGAGATTCGACCAGACCTCTAGCTCATTCCCTGTTTTTCATTTCAGCTTCGTCTTCGATTCGTCTTGGCTCCGTCAAAAACAATCTTACAGATACTCTGGTCCAAGCCATCAGCAAAAGCAGAATGGGACTCGACCCTTTCTTGTCTTCTGTTCTGTCAGGTTCGCCTCTTGGTTCATACACCCCGTGGGGTCGAAGTCTACCTAAGGCCTTCCATGCCGGTCACGGAGACCGGAGCGGAGTGGGCCGATCGGCCGGACCTGGACGTCGAGCTCGAAAGGCCGCCCATTTATTACCCCAGGCACGAACCAGTATCCAGGACGCAAGGAGTGCCGTCGAGACAAAGTGCTTGGTAAGGAGTTGATTGATGACCATATATTCTGGCGGTCATTGAGATCGGAGAGATTTGTTTCAATCGGCGAAACCTGGATGTTATGCTCGAGAGGCCGCCCATATATTACCCCAGGCATGAATCTGTGTCCACCCCCCATGGAGTGCCGTCGAAAGCCGGTGCTTGGTAAAAGACTGGATCGCTGACATCATGATTGAAAGTAGCAAAAGTCTAATTCGCGGATTCAATGATTCGCCACTTCCACAGTCAGTTCTTGCAAGAAGGTTTATGATAACCAGCCTGCATTTAAGAGTTAATGTCATGCGGTCATGGGTCGGTGCGATTTCATGTCGGTGCACAGTCGAAGTGCCTTGATTGAACGGCGAAAGCGAAAAACATACGTGATTACATGTCACTCATACGGCATATCATATCATCTGTGATCCCAGACATTAACGTTGAAGCGCGTTCAACGGCTTACGCACCTTGCATGGGAAGACCATCATTGTATCGGTACACTGATCAACTCACTACTGATCAACTCACTTAAGTTAGCTACGTGTGCTGATTCGACAATTTTTGATGGGATTTCATGGACCTTGAGAATAAGCCGCCGTTTAGAGGCACGAATCCTATATATATAAGCGTTGGTAGCCTAGGAGGGGCCGGTGTGGCCAGCTCGCTAGGGTTAGCCGTATGTTGCGCGGCTCTTCTTCAAGAACAAGCTATAGTATACGCGCATATCTTCTAGCGTTCCATCCAGCTACAGATGCATGCCGGCCAGGTGCTCATCTGCCGATTGGAGTCCAGTCTCAGCTTTTACTCAGTTCCTTCTTATAGGTGCCGTGACTCCATGATCCGAGTCTATCATCACGCGGTATAGCTAGCTAGGCTAGGTTTGCGCATGTGCACTAATGTTTGATCCCTTAAGTTGCATTGCATTATCATGAATCCAATACTATGCACAGTGCGACGTAGAATATGCTCCAAAGTGCCAGCCAGATAGTGCATGATGGAAACACAGTGGCTTTATAGAACAAGTAAAGTTCAATATGGACGAGTGACTGATTTTCGAAGCGATCCGAAGAGTATGGTCGATCATGGCGGCATGAAGCATGCAGTCACAGTACAAACGCTAGGCTAGCATCATGACAATCACATCGGGTCGGTCAAGAGTCAAGACCTTGAGTCACCATGCGCGCTTCCGTATCGCGCGCAACCACGGTATATGATCTGGGACGACCGCTGCCAGGTATAGCATTGTACGTTCTGCAGAATTGCGCATCTAACATTGGCCGCCGGCGCGCCTATCTGCACGCGAGCTAATAGACTCATACTGGGCTCCAAGCGGCCTGCAGATTAGACCAGCGAATTGGGTACAACACCCAGCCGCGCCATACCATACAAACGTTTTGGATGTTCGTAGTGGCAATCGCAAGCTGAGTCAATGCCATTAGTTAAAGAAAACTTTGGCCACCATTCTATCTCAGTATGCCTACGTGAGAAACAACATTAAATGCTGAGGTCCTACTCGAGAAAGTTTGCTTAAGGTCTTACTATATTGTCTTCTATCGAAGTCTGCGGGACTCAAATACAAACCTCAAGTAGCTCTCTCATACTTTAAACCTGGTACAATTCCAACACATGCAAGCGCAAAATCCAAACAAGGACCCTGGGTGTTCACAATCTTTCTTTGTACACGCCTGTTCGACCTGGAATGATATCATCCTAGCTTTTAGTCAAACAAACACACCCCATAACAATCACTCTCGCTTCACAGGCTCAAAACCATCATCCTCGCCAGGCTTCTTACAATCGCTCCTACTGCAAACCGATCATCATCACAAATCTTCTGGCCAGACAATCAGCATGGTCTTGCACAGCTCGCCTATTCTTAAACCCCACCATAAGCTACAGTCAACGTTCATAGAACGTCAGACTTCTCGTGCCTCCTAAACCTTCCCGTTGGCGTTGTTGCCTCTGGGCAGGAGCGACTCCACCGAGTTCGCATCCGTCCCGTTGCCATACTCCGGGAATTCAAAGTTCGCGGTTTGCCCGGTGAACTCCAGGAACCAGCCCAAGATCTGCGGCCCGGGGATCTTAATCACCATGTTCTTCCCGTCGTGGAAGCTGTAGGTTGAGTCGGTGGCGGACTTGCTGCTGGAAGACTTGGAATAACTGAAGCAGAAGCAGCCGCCCCCGGACGTGCTGCTGCTCTCCAGGAAGGAGTGCGCGTCCCCGTACGTCTTTGCGTCCATCTCGATCTTGATCGTCATGTCTTTGGCGACCACGATCGCGACGGGGTAGGCCGGGAACATGGCTTTCTGAAATGAATTAAGACAAGGAGGAAGTTTTTGAGTAGAGTGAATTAAAAGAAGGTCCCGAGTTATGTAAACTGCAAGTAAGTCGACTACAAGGTATGAATGGGGATTCAAAGACTGAGTCTCCGTTTCCCGTTTCTAGAACGAGAGGCGGCAATCATCTACAAAAAGGGTGACTGAGAATGTTCGTCGTCAGGTGACAACCTGAAAGCTTATGTGCTGCACGGACCTCGTTGCTGTCTGTGCCGCTGATCTTATAGTCGTCTAAACAAGCGTGACGTCACTTTCACGTTTTAAAAGTTCGCCTTGGTGTCTTGCCAAATGAATGATGCAACGAAGCTGTCCAATCTCGTTGAGACGGCGTACATAGCCACTCCAGCAGAGGACGATTCAAATCGACGTTGTCCGAACACTCAATCTGTAACACCGGCTAATTGACCTAGGGCACGAACACACGTAACCTGAGCAGACAGCACGACGAATCGATCCTACTCGGTCAAGATATTATACCTGGGCCGCTTCGAGCTGCGTCGTGTACGCCTCTTTATTGGCGTTAAAGAGGGCAAGTGCGTCGTTGTACTCCTTCTCAGGGAGACTGGCAGAGGGGCGCGTGACGCGGGTCGTGGGACCCGAGGCCGTGACGCGCGTACGGCTGTTGCGCATACTCCAGACGTCAGCATTCTCCTTGAGCGCCTGCACGGGAAGAAATTAGTCTGCGTTATGATCCGAAAAGACCATAAGTCGCAGCTTCAAGTCCGGGGGAAGTATCGGTCAGCTTCGGGTAAGGTGGCCTCGCTTGCGGAGCGCGTGAATACAAGTGTCAGGGCTTTTCTTTCTTTTTGCCTGAAAAAGTGATAATACGACTCACGCAGCTTAAAGTACCAATGTACCTACAATCACAGGGTCGGTGAGTTTCCGACAGAAGTTCCTCAATTACAATCAAGCGATATACTTCGTTGCGACATAGCAGCTGACAGAATCGGACGTTCTTGTTCATGCAGACGTTTTCGGCGGAAGATCGGCGGAAGATGACAGGGTTTGCGATTTTCAGGGCTTAAAAAGGCCCTCCAAAAGGCTGCAAAGTGTTGGGAAGGTGCTTGAGCGATTCGCGGAGCAGTCATGTCGCTTGCCCTAAGGATCCTACCAGAAATAACAAATGCATGGAAGGCAGATTACGTCGAGAGTCTTCCCTGTGACGAAACCCCAAGCGAGTTGAACCAGGGAAGGACCACTACTCACGGAGGGGTTGAACCAGCCGCCCCGGTTGATGGTCACTTTGGTCGCTCGGAACCCGAGGTCGAACTTGGCACGCTCGGCCTTGAAATCCTTGGCAAAGTTGCTGCTGGCGCTGTCAGACGAGCCTCCCCCGCTGCCGAAGAAGAAGCTCGTGCTCCAGCTCGTGTGCGTTGCAGAGCTCGCTGTGAGAGTGCTGGTACTCTCCCGATCGCTCTGAAAAAACATCTTCACGTCCATGAAGCGGCTGACGGGGCCCTCCGGCTTGGACGGCGTCAGTTCGGCGGCGCTCTCTGGGCGGAGTATCTTGAAGACTGACGTCAGCTTCTTCGCGGCCTCCGCCTTCTCCGGCTCGGTTTTCAACGCGGTGTAGTCCGGGACATCTTCAGGAGTCAAACTCGGAACTCTATCTTTCATTGCGGGGTCGGTCTCGAGCGTCTTGTTCCGCTCGTTGTTCAGCGCAGTCTTAGCGGCCTCCAGCTCCGTCGTGGCCGCGGCCTTTGCCGCCTCGCTCGCTTTGGACACCTTGTCTGCAGCGGCGTCGTACTCTTGATGAGGGGCGCGAAATCCGCTGCGCGGCTGGCGTTGATCTGCGACCTAACGAAGGCAATCTGGCGGCTGTAAACAGACAAGACACGTTCAAAATCAGTGTTGCAATCGGTTACATTGACGCGTTCTTGCAATTTGTTCCTTGCGTTCGAGCGGTCATGAAGTAGTATCGCAGTGCTGCTGACCACGAGCTGAAAGAGCAAATTAGCTAACACTCTTTCATGACGGACGCGTGTCAGACCGGACAAAGTTTTCTTCTTGTTAGAAACTTGGACCTGGAAATGAAACTGCAGCACTTGGTCTCGTCGAGCTGAACGAACTCATTCAGGACTGTTGTCGTTGACGAGAAGAAACATCACAAGATCATACCGAGGAAAATCCTCTCGAGTATGATGAAAACCCGGCACTATAGTGCACGTTCGAAATCAGCAGGTGTGGTTGCTGTTGCTAATCCCTTTCACAAGAGAATAAGGCTGGACGCAATCAGAAGCTCTGGAAACCTTTGCCATGCACGATTCTACAGATTCTGTTGCCAAGCTTTTTTGAAGGCAAACAAACAAACCGAAAATAAGCAAACATACCGTAAACTCTGCCTGGGCCTGCAAAAGGATCGCTTCAAGTTCTCTGGAGACGGATCGGAAGTGAATCGATGGAGCGGATATGTTGCTCTAGGGACAGATAAGCTCTCAGACGAGTCTTCTGAGGACTCAATTCGCTTACTTGAGCTGGCGAATCTTGTTCTGCAGATTGGTCTTAGACGCCTCGACATTCACAACCTCCCCTTCCGCCTCTTGAGCCATGGAGACCGCGAGGGCACGCTGGGCTGACGTGAACTCGGCCTGAAAAGTTCAAGGATTGAAGCAGCTTGAATTCATCGACCGCGCAAGAGGTTATGGCTTTTAATACTGTGGAAAGAGCTGCAAACCAGTGCTTTAGAAGTCCCGTGAGCAGGTAAGTATTTCCAGGAGAAGCAACGCGCAAACAAGGGTCTTCGAAGAGCAACGAGGATTGTTTGTCCAACTTGAAATGGATCGCAAACGGGAACATCCTGTCGAACAGCAGAATCTGCAGGAAGTGGCATATTCGCATATTACGCCTATTTCACCTATTGCCTGTATCAGATCGCCCATTCCTCAAGTGTTACCGGTTTTTCCGTTGAGCTTGCTTACTATTCTCGTGGCCTGGATACTTAGCACACTGTTTCCTGGCACTGCAAGGTGTAAGTGCATGCAAAGAAAAAAGTCAAACATGCCACTGGCATGTCTAACTTTTTCTGAGGCCATGCCAACTATGAAGGGACTCCGTGGCTTGCCTGCGCCTGTATCGTTTGGTTATGCAGTCCCTCCAACTGTTTGAAGTCGTCGTCACTCAGAAGGGGCTTCTTCGCACCCCCCAGCTCCTTGTTGATTGCGTCTTTGTTTAGCGGACCCTTTGAGTTCTCAGCCTGCTCTTCATCACCATCTGGACGATGGCGATTGTAGCGCTGCCGTACTGCTTGATCAGGCCGGCCTGAGCGTTGTCAGCTCTCGGGCGCGCTTTCTCGAGCTGTCAAACACGGGAAAGCGAAAAGGTTGGACAGTGAAGCAAAACCGCGGGCTGAGAGTAGTGAGTGTCAGTATTTGATGCGGTTCTTGCTGTCGAACTTCAGAGCTCGGAACATAATCAGGATCAGAGCACGCAAAGGTCAAAGGAAACACAAGGCGGAAGTTGTCAAGTGAGCGCCATGAGGGTTCCCTTGCAGAACGGGTGATACTGCAATCAGCACACAGATCTGCTTGAAGATTGATTGTTTAAAAGGAGATTTAAGCAAACTGCACAACGGCTGGTGGTTACTAGCAGGGCCTAAGCGGGCTTCCACAACCGCACACTGCTGTGCGTGTTTTTTCGCGAGTCACTCTTATCAGCGCGTATAACGTCTACCTTGTTTCAATTGTTTTAAGATAGCCGCTGCTTCATGTTCGCGTCTGTAGCTGCTTCTGGGAGGCAAGAGTAGCTTTGGCGATCTCACCTCCTCTTTCAGGGTTTTCAGATCCGGTTTGGCAGTCAGCTCAAACATTGCGAGCGCGTTGGTCGCGTCATCCAAGTCTGGCTCCAGCCCGCTCAGTTTCATTCCGAGCGCCTCAGGCTGAGCGAGCAGGTCCTCCGGCTGGAAATTGCTGTCCAGCGAAACGGCCCAATCCACCGGCGAGAAAGTGACCGGGTAGATGACGCTGCTCTCGTCGAGAGAGCTGAGGGAGCTCTGCCGCATGTTCTGCTTGGTCCGCTCCAGCAGCTCCCCTGAGCTCTCGACGTCCAGGTAGGAGAAGCCGGTCATGATCTGGAAGGGCGTGGCATAATGGGTCAATGCTTTCCACCGGAAGCGGGAACTTCCATTCAAGGGTCAGGAACAGACACTGGGTGTAATATCAAACTAGAGCCACCAGATTATACCAGGAGTGTTCTGGATGGTGGTGCGCGAGCGTGAAGACAACGAAGCAAGGCGTCAGAATGTGCGTATTGATTCCTAGATTTCAGCGTATGCTAAAGAAAGTAAAATTTCCTTGATCAATATCCTTGCGGCCAAACTGGACAAAGCATCCTCTCCGGTCACCACTCAGCTTATAGCTTGACTCAAGTTCGATGGCAGAGTGCCGTATCTCCAGTCTCGGAGTCGTATGCAGAACAGCTTGAAATCTGAAAATTCTCTAAACTTGAGAATCTCGATTACATACCCGGCAAGGGAAAGTCTTCGACGACTTCAAGCTTCCGTTCTGTCAAGCAAATCTTTGCTTGCCAGATAAATTGGGAATCCTAAAGTACATTATGCTCAGGCTGGTTTCTCAACGGATGCCCTAACTCTGTCAGACAAGCAGCTTAAAAGCAATGTTTGCATCGGATGCTTGAGCATCATCCAGGCCGCTGTCAAGTTCAAAGATACAATAACTTCTTTCGTAACTTCTTTCTATGACAGGAACACACCCCTGAAGAATGCAAATATGCTTTGCACACATTGCAGGTTAAATTGACCTCTTGGTCTGCTATTACCGTGGAGAGCAAGCTTACCTCATGCATCAGGCCCTGTGCCACAAGGTCCTGATACCTGGCCTGGATCTTGGCGTCACGCACTGGCGCAGTCTCTGAAACCCAATTGGCCCAGGCGTCCAGCGCGCGCTGACGAGTCCAACCTTCCTTGGCCAAGAACTCATCCCTCTTCTCGTTCTTCTCCTCCTGCCAACGTAGCTTCTCGGTAAGGTACCTACACAGTGAAAGGCCTATGTAAGCAAGTATCTCGCAAAGGGGATTGAAAGCTTCTAATCACACCTCGGCAAGTTTTATCATCAGATAGTAGGACCAATGTTCCGATCTGCAGAACGCACAAAGCTTGAGCAAATGTGGATTAGCCATAATCAACGAGATGACTCTGTCAATCCTCGTTCATTTCTGCCACGTCGGCTACAGCCTGTTGGATGGCAGATCTAGATGTCGCTACCTGTCAAAGCAACTCAGCGCTCGAGAACCTCTCTGTACTACGACTGCGTGCAAAACCCTGGCTCGAGGAAACCCAACTATATTCAGGGGGGATCCGAAGGCCAGTCAGAATCTCAAACTCCTTCTTGAATGGATTGATGGATCAGTCATCGTTTCAAGGGGTGCAGAAAGTACTAGCGACAGCAAGATGCTTCAGTGACAGTTGACGGGGACACTTTGAGCTGTTCAGATCAAAATGGACAGCCGGAACATTCACGCAGCTTTTAAGAAGTCAGGTACTGAGTCAGGTAACGCGACATCAGATGTTTGTAAAGGAGCAAAGATGAAAACTCTAAAAAGGCTAATTGCAAGCATACCTGTCGTTCAGAAGGACATAAAGTTCCATGCGTGTCAAGGTGAGGGGTTGGGCCACAACATCTCCCGTCTTTGAATTAATGGTGATAATTTGCGTTGAGACCTTCTCGAGCAGCCAGCTTCGGATAGCCTTCTTGTCCTGCAGCAGGATGGCAGGGACGAGGAAATTGATGTTGCCATTTGAGAGCAATCCAATATCAGAGGCAATCTCGCAAGTTTCAAGTCCTCACCATGGAAAGAGCATCGAAAGGTCTTCCGTTATTGAGCAGCCAATTGAAATGCAAAGTGGTGGCCTCCACAGCATCTGCATGAACGCCATTGAACACCACAATTTTGTTACAAGAAAGACCTGCCGTGACAAGGTGTGACAAGGTGACCTTCTTGATCCACTGTTACCTGCTGAAACCTCGCGTTGTTCTTTCCAAAGGCTGGCATCAGCGTGTTGAGCGCCTGCTCATAAACTTCGGATACTTTGCTGCCATTTGGGCCACCCACGACCTCAGCGACGTCCAGCATGCCGTCCGACAGGGCGAACTCAGCCTCCAGCACCTGCAGAAGATTCATAGGTTTCCAGAAGAAGTCAGATTCTTGCCGACTTCACCGTACAATTGGAATCAGGCAGACATGCATTGGGTGAGGTTAGGCCTTGATACGAAAGTATTGAGTACTCACGTGGTGCTGTGACCTGCTCTGCTGTGTCTTGCACTCCAAAAACCAACAGCAGACTCGAGCAACAACTCCGTGATTTGGCAACCTTTGCAGCTTAACATTCAGAATGGGCCACCTTTTCCCAACTTTGGATTGCAAAATAGGTGCACTAAGCAGAAGGGGCATCCGTACTGAACTGCTTGTAAGGAGGAAAGCTCATTTGATTGATTCTCACCGGCTGTGGCTTCTCCATGTCGGCATATGCGTCCTCCACAGCAAACTTGTAGGTCGTTTCATCAAGGATCCTTCCCGGGAACTCGAGAGCAAAAAGTTGGCTTGAATTTCCACCACCAAAGAGCTCTTGCAGCTTTCCATAAAGCTGATCCACAGCATTTTGCCGTTTTGAATCCGCCATGGCTCCTGCAAATGTACCTAGCAGCTCTTGATCTCTACTATGAACAAGAGGGGCTAACTCAGAGTCCGCTGTTGCTGACGTCACCAAGTTGGAAACCCCAATACCAGGAGGTGCTGGCAATTCGACAGATGGTGAATGTGGCAGCACAAAGAGTGCGGGTTCAATTGGTAAGTCTAAAAGACTAACAGGGTTTTCGGAATCAGCGGAGCTTGGTACTGGGGGAAGGGGGCCCCTTCTTGACTGAACAGCTGAAGGCTCAAACGTCGTCAGAACCTGCAAATGTAGACACGTGGCTCTTAGCTTTTGTAACTATGAGGTTCATCATAATTAGTAAGTGTTTCTGAATGCGCAGAGGGCCGCAGATGCTTGCTTGCTGCTGCACATGGTGTCACTCTATATCCTGCTCATTGAATAGCCACACTGCATATATGGCCTGCCACATTCAGCAGACTCAAATCCAAGGGGAATCTATGCTCTGCATTTCTGAGCGGGCCACGTGGCAGAAAGTTCACATGCTTCATTTAGCAGCTCCGCTACAACCTAGTCCCCATCGTACCTCTGGTTCCACTCAACCACACATCTGCCAGAGAGCCTAGTACCTTACTGAATCGCATGCGAAAAAAGCAGCTGGCCTTAGGGAAGCCACACGTATCTATTTTATGAGTTCTTCCCTTACCACGTCTTCAACAATACTTCCGGTGAGCTGGACTCCGTCCACCAAGCTGCTCTTTCCCGCCGGTAGCACGGAGGACCTGGCTCGCAGCTCCCTGTTGCCTGTGATGCTGATGGTGTGCACTTCACGTCCAAGGGCAGAAGTGATGGCAGGTTCCGTAGCACCCTGTAGACGTTGAAGGCCTTCTGGCAGCTGGTCGTGTAGTAATGTCTCTTCGTCCACCTGGAGAATCGTGTGCTTTGAAATGTCCAAGTTGGCGGTATCAAGCGGTTGGTCTGCGGGGGTGCGCACGAAACAGGAGAAGCATTTGCTGAGAACGGGCATGGGATTCTGGTTGGGAACCGTGAGTTGAAGTGCTTTGAATACGCAGGAACTTTGACAACTATATATTAGTGGAGCTGGAGGCGTGAAGTAACGAACTGGCTTAGCTCCTAGCTGTATTTTGAAATATGCGAAGTCTTTTGAGACGGGAATGGCTCCTTGGGAAACTCCCTTTCCAGCCGTCAAGACTGATCAAGACTCAGTGCGTGCTCTCCGTCACAAGATGGTATTCATCATGCATATTAAATGCTTCCGAAAAACAGCGATGACAACATTGCAGTACTAGCAGCGCCTCAATACTGGCACTAGTGCTGCCATATCCTTCCCGGCCGCTCAGTTTCTGGGATCGTTGGTGGCTGCTGGCAGCTGGCTGCTGGACTCCTTAGTATAATCTTGTTTGTTAACTTGTGACCTTCCTTAGACCTTTCTTAGACCTTTAATGGGCCTTTAATCTTAGACCCTGGCTCGTTCAACGGCAATGGGTCACGTGACACGCCCATCATACGTTGGCGCCGGCTATTCTAGCTCTTCTTTCGAAATCGCTGTGCATAATGTCCGTGCCCCGAGTCGCTGCTGGCGGCTGAAGCAGTGCTTATGCTAAACTGACCCCTTGCCGAGCTTCTTTGTGGAAAACACGTGGAAGCTGCTTTTCAGGCACATCATGCACATTAAATGCTCCGGCTCTCTGAGACAGCAGTGCACACTGCTTAGTAACAGCGGCAGGACCCGTTTCAGTACGTTCACATACGATATACCAGTACGTTGTACCTACCTATATCAGAACGTTCCACGTGCACATTGCCACACAACTAAAAGATGCAAGCGCCAACGACCAAATGGCACATCATGCGAATTGAATGCTCTGGCTCCTCCGAAACAGCCCTGCATAATGCCAAGCCTATGAGCCTTGCGTGTTGCACTCCAGAGTCCAGACTCCAGAGGCCCGCTTCTCAATCTGCATAATGCACCTGCTGGTGTACCGTAGCATTAAGTGCGTTTCGTGAGTCAGTGAGTCGTGCTTTTGCATGTTTTGGATTTTGAGCCCTGTGGTCCTGATCCGACGGCGCAAGACACTATTCTATGAGCATCCGACGGTTCTAAACAATAGACTTGCTATCGATATCCCAACAATCTTGTACCATCGGTGCCTGAATCCTGACTCCTGACAGTGACATACCGGTAGGTACTGCCTGGCTGTAGGTACTAGGACCTATGGCTGGACTCACGCTCATCATGCACGCCGCACCCTGAGCCACGCTCGGTGAGACCGGGATTCAATGAGTTGGCCCTGCAGCTTTGCAGCTTGCTATGGCTGCATTGGGCATGTCCAATATCGGATAATTCCTTAGGTCTACGGCATACAGGGCACCCAAACATATTGCTTGAAGGATGAAATTTATCGGACTAGCGTGCACTTTGACTGTGGAGACCTAACACGACGGATAGTTGGATCCTGTTTGATGAATGCATGATGGTTATGATACTTGCCACTGGCAGCCAAGCCATGAAACACATGTGACATGGTGAATCATCATGAATAGTACCACATGTACTTGCGTTGGTGACATCAAATGAACGTACCAATGCTCATCATTGCCACACCATACTGACATGATGCATTCGCTTAATGCTACCCAGTTCGCTTTGAATCTGTAGGCCGCGCTTGGAGCTCATGGTATGATCGATCTTTTATAGCTCGTTCATATGGGCGCCGGCAGCCAACATTAGATTGTGCAATTGTGCATAACGCATACATTCGTTGATGATGCATGATATGCCTGGCAACGTGCCTGTGAGTCCGGGCGGCCCACTGAGATCCTATCATGGTTGCAAGATACAGAACTTGAAGCGCACAAGTTGGAGGTCTGGACGGTCTTGACCCGATATGCATGTGATTGACGGCGGCGGTCATGGTATGCTAGCTAGGCCCATCGAGTCGGACCGCGTCCATCTTCAGCGCTCTAGCGCGCGGCGACCACCGACCCAGCGGCACATACTGGCGAGCTATATTAGTCAATCTAATGTGCAACGGAGTCCAGAATCCGGTGCGCCAATGCATGAAATATAGCAATTATGATGGGCGCGACGGTAGGCGGCAAGGTTCCGACGAGCGCGCTCGGTTGAAATGCGCCGATTGGACGGCTAATTTCCTCGATTCACTTCAGGGCTGTCGGCCGGAAGGACTTCGATGACCGACGCCTCGGAATTGGTCCGACAATCACATGACGTCATATTGATGCAAGTCGTTGTAAGCCCGTCCACAATGGACTCATCATGATCTTGCCTGGGCCAGTGGCTGGGCCACCGAGCTAGCCTTGCAATGTATCATTCAATATCAAGGAAGTCAGGTCATGTTAACCACTAGCTGTGCGGATTTATATAATGCACAACCTGCACATTAGGCCTGGGCCTTTCACTCCCTTGTAATAAGAACGACTGGACAACTGTTTTTCGAACTAAGCTCCAAACGATTGTCGGAAACTCGATGAGGCCACCACCTTATTACCCACAACATATTTCAAGTAAGATCGTGAGGATTGGCAGGCTCGCTGGAGGACGACTCGGTTAGCAGTGACACATTTGTCGGTGGAGTTTGCCCATGACCATTGGTCAGTGGCATGCCCATAATCTACCTTGCTTGGCTGCTGTCATGTAGCTATTGGTGACAGTGTTCCGCACAGCAACGAAAGACCCGAACTCCCGGATCGCGTTGCCTCCTTTATCGACTATAGGTTCAAGTCCGCAACCGACTCACGTCTGGACGCTTCTTTCGAACATGTCCCCGATTGAGACCCCCCGAAGCTGCTTACAATATCACTATCCGAACCCCTTGCGCTCCTAAACCCTTCCCCTTCCCCGCCATCCCCAGTATCAGCAACCCGTCTACCCCCCGACTCGCCACTTTTTCGTCTCGGCAGCGGCCCCCCTTCCACTGGCGCCCCAGTAAACGTTACGCTATCCTTGGGCCTCTCCCCCGGGTCAATCGCAGCCCTGGTTCCTTCGTAACCCGGTCTAAAACCTGGCCCGTAACCGCTAACCCGAATGTCGTCGCTCGTGTGGGCCCGTGACATAGGACCTTCCGGCAGTTGGACTTCCGGTCTGTAATTGTTACCCTTATCTTGGCCGGCCGGTTTTTGGCCCAAGGGGTTTAGAATTTGCTGGGGGGGGGACCGAGGGGGCCTGCATCGCAGGAGAGACAGGAACGACCATCAAAGGGGGAGAATAATAGTCAAATATTGCGTTGATTTGTGCAGATTGAGAACCGAAATCTGGCTAAAGGTGGCACGTTCTAGCTCTTGCTACTTGGACTCCTGGGCCACACGGATCCCAACGAAATTGTTGCAAGTGACACACAACGAGCTCAAAGAACACCGGCTCACCCAAGCCAACCACGATAAAGCAGCAGTCGTCAGATAGAACTCCGACTCACGGCCGTCAGTGGACAACATAATGCTGTCATTGATACCACTCAATGTCTCACAAACCCAACTGCCCTGTCTTGATATGACTCTAACATGTATTAACAAACTTCTTACCTCAGGTGCTATTATTCAGCCTACCAATGCAAAGTTCCAGGATCAGAGATGAAGCTACTCGCAAAAGCTGCGCAAAACGAAAGCAGCCAGAAGCCAGAGCACACCCCTCCGCTTCATCTTGTGGTTTCTCTGCTCAAAACCAGATTTCAATTCCAGGAAAGACGCCCGTGAGCGCGAAACTCAACTTCAGCGCCTCTCACGGTGTTGCGTTTGAGGCCAAACACAAATTTGCAGAATCCAAATGTCGAACTAAACGCCTCTGACCCGGTTTGCAACACCCCGACCAGAAAGCGATAATCTGCAATGGGAAGGAAAAACCCCTCACCCTAGTTGTGGCGCCTCGGCCCGGAAGTTGTTCCGGCTCTTGGGGGTCCTGGTAAATAGGACCTCGGCCCAGTTTCCGAGGCAGCCTCGGTTATACGGATTCTGCTTGCTGTCGTAGCGGTACCGGAAATTCTCATAAGTGGTCTGCACAGACGAGAGCTTATGTTGTAAGCTCGATTCTTATGAGTCCTGGTTATACAGGTTCTGCTTGCTATTGTGGCAGTACCGGAAGATCTCATATGTAATCTGCACAGACGAGAGTTTACGCTGTCAGCTCTTGAGATGCTTATGCAAGTTTAACAGCCCCGGTTATACGAGTTCTGCTTGCCTTCATAGCAATACCGGGAATCCTCTTAAGTGGTCTGCACAGACGAGAGCATATGCTGTCAGCTCTTGAGATGCTATCGCAAGTTCAGCCCGCCCCAGTTGTACGAAGTCTGCTGCATATGACATCGAAACCAGATACTTCATCAGTGGTCTGCACGAGCGAGAGTTATACTGTCAGCGTTTAGCTTCTGCTTGAAAGCGTTGACCGAGCTGAGCCAATGCTTCCGAGCAGAAGTGAGCTGATAATCTCTGGATCAGCTCATACAGCCAGGCATCTCCGGTTGAGCGGCTTATGCTAGCCTGTGATCATAACATCGATAAAAGTTCCCCTTATCTCGTCTGCATGAAATGACAGCCAATGTTTGCTTTATCAAGTTCTAGGTCACTTTCTTTCTGTCGGCTCGTGAGTACTTCGTCAACAGTGCCCGAATTCGTAGGAGCGCATGACTTTGGGTCGTCCAGAAAGTCTCGTATTAGCTTGAGTGATTGAAAGACACGAGGGCTGATCAGCTGAAAGCCGCTTCCTCGTGAGCGACTATCTCGCCGGAAAATACGCGTTATGTTTGCAGCTACGTTGCTTTTTTGATGATAACCGTCCAGACTTCAACACGTCATCCATCTTACCTGGTTCTTTGTGATGAACACCGTATGCAGCACGGACAGCCCCCCCGTAAAGAAGAGGGCGAGAAACGTGTACGCCATAAGTAGGACGGAGACGGGAGACGCGCCCATAGCTTTTGGGACCGTCGCGCTCTTGCCCTCCCTTTGCCGCTCGTCCATGATCAGCTTGATGTTTACGGCAGAAAAGGAGAAGACGTAGATGCAGAGGAGAGTCGTGGAGACGACGAACAAGAAGAAGAAGCGGTAGTTTCGCTGCAAAAGAAAGGGGCGCAAGTTTCGAGTAGATTCTTCGCGGTTGTGTGCGTAGGGCGGAGATTTTCTGAGAGGGCCACAAGCAACTCTGATTTCGGCGGGAAGGCGAAGGTGCAAACGCAGGGGAGAAAGGTGGAGACATCGAAGAAGAAGGAAAAGCGATGGTTTGGCTGCAAAGGGAAGGGGCAGGTGCTCTTACAGCGACAGCAAGCAAACAGTCGTTTGAAGGGACACAAGCGAGTTCTCTTGCAGGAGCGCCGACATGGAGGAGAAGGGTATACACAACACAAGCCAAGGGAGGAAGGTAGATTTACGACATAGTTGAGTTCAGAGACGGCGTCTTTTTGTCATTTGCAATAACAGGCATGAAGAGACCACTCTTCTGCTTGGAAAAAGTTGGAAGAAAACGAAGCGGCGCAGGACAGGCGAAACGACAGAGGAAAGGGAAGGTCTGTTTGAAATTGCGCAAGAGTTCAGCGACGCGATGCTGATGATGCATATCCGATCGTCCCAGGAGAGACAGGAGTCGCTGCATAAGTCTCGGAGACACAAAGCGATGCAGAGCCGCACGATGCAATGTCCCATTTGAGGCCAATAGCGAAGTGACATTTCTGGCAGCGACGAAATCTAGAATCGCATATCAGTCTGTCAATCTCCAACAGTGAAAGGACCATGAAGAAGCTACTGGGTAGATGTCTCTAAAGAATGCCCGACCCAAGAGAGTTGCGGTCCACCTCATTCACCTACTCCTCCCGTCAACAGAGCTCTTACCAAGGAAACCTAGTATGTTTCCGATGTGAAGTACGAGAGAAGCGATTGGACAGGAAACTGCTCACCGTGGCTAAACATTGCCCCACCCAGGGGCGTGGTGATCAAACTTTTCTACCCAGTTGTTGCAGATACAAGCTCTTAGTCTGGCAGTATCAGTTGGAAAAGAAGGAGAATAAGAGAAAGAATCCAGCTAAACACCCTGTGAAATAGAAGACTGCTCACCCTGCCTATACATTGCCCCACCCAGGGGCAGTGATGGTCAAACTTTTCTACGCAGTTGTTGCAGATGCTGCAGTGGCTCGTGCGCGGGGGGCGGTACAGCATGCACGTGTCGCAGTACTTGACCTTGACCGTGTGGCCATTAACCACGACGTCTTTCGTCCGCGGCAACCTGCGGACACCGCCATTGTTTGGATTAGTTTGCTGGTCGACGTGCTGATCAGTTTCGTACACTTAGGTGGTGAAGTAAATCTGCATGAACCTAGGCGCCTGATTGAGCGTTGCAGCAGTACTGGACTTTCACCGTGTAGCCGTTAAACACAATGTCCCTCGGCCGCGGCAACCTGCGGTTAATACAATCGGTTAGAGCTGGTTGGGGAGTGATGCAACGAGTGGGTTACCAAAGTTGCTGAAAACGGGACTCCGAATGGGACACTGTACCAGTCCTTTATGTTCGACTGTGGCTGATAAGTATTCTGGCTTGAAAGAATGGTCGAGACAGTTGATCAGACATTTCCAGAACGTCTGGCCGTTAAAAATGACGCCTTTTATTCGAAGCAACCTGACGTTAGAAAGGCGGATTGAAACGTTCACGACAGCCCACAACGGCCTGCACTGATTGCCTTTTCACTCCAACTGCTATGTCCAAACAAACTTGAGGCTCAGATGAAGGAATGGTTTCAAAGACATGCAGAAGTTCTTCGTCGCTAGATTTGCCACCCAATCGGTCAAAGGATTGGCAGAAAGCGGCAAAGCAGACAGTCTCCACCCGACAGGCCGCAATCAATGGTTGCAGACGAGACATGCATTGATCACTGCGCAGGTAAGAAAGTAACGCAATGCGCGAGTGTTGATTGGGTCTGAAGAATTAACTGGGTCTGGTATAATAAGTAAGAAAAGAGGGCGGCTTTACCTCGGCCGTTGCCCGATCTCATACTGCGGGGGAGGATTCTCCGGGTCCTCCTCAGGGTCAGGGGGCTGCAGATTCCTCGGGATGATGCCCGGGTCGCGGGATGACGTCAGCAGCAGCAGGCCGATGTCCCACACAATGATGACGATCCCGCAAACTAGAGGAGCGGCGTTGAGGCGGTCGATGAGTTCCCGGCCCGGGAATACGATGAACAGGACAGCGGGGCTGATGATGAGGAAGAGGGAGAGGCAGAGGGACTTCCAGTCGGGGCCGAAGATGAGGCGTCCGCCGAGAACGAACCTCTGCAGGTGTGAGTAGGAGGATTTCAGGAATGTTATCTCTGGGGTGCAGAGTTGACAGTAAAATCAGACTTTGAGAAGAGCCGAAGAAATTTGGTGTGGGGTTGAAGACGAGACGGCCACCGAAGAGGAAGCTTCGGAGGTGTGAATAAGGGGCTTCCAGATTCAAAGCTCAAAAACTTGGAAAAGTACGAAGAAGGACAGTGCTCAAAGATGAGCGGGTTTATGCTCGCGTCTTTAATGAAGATGCAATTTCAATTATCGGTCAAGCATAACCTGAACGAAGAGTGACCGGCAGCCGATCCCTCTTGGACGACGCTGATTGCAATGTCACAAAAGTCAAGATTGTTACTCAAATGAACATGGTGATGCTGCAATTCTCAGGTACATTCAGGTCAACTACATCAGATAAACACAATTGTCGCAGGCGAACTTTGCAGATGGAGTGATTTAGAACTCCACTGTTTCTCTTTTTTTTGGAAAGCGACGAGAATCTGACATGAACACCACCATACCGCATAAGACGAGTTTTGCATTGCATTGGAATTACGGTGTGCAGGCCAGAGCAATCGCCGAAGAAAAAACCGAGTAAACCTCAGAACGCAATGAGGCTCGTGAGAACATTGTCAGACAGGTCTTTCTTCAAACTGTAAGCAGAGCTGCAAGCTCACGAATGACATTGTACAAGCATGTAGAGCCCTCCGAATAGGATCTGCAAGGGGCAGACTTAAACAAGGGGCAGACTTAATCTGATACATGAAACCGGATAGGAAATGAGTGCCATCTCCATACCAACACCTGCCTGCCAAAGTTTGTCTACCATCATCAAGAAAGGGCAACCGACGCAAGCATCAGACAGCTCTTCCTCTTAAGAGGCTGTTGGTGCACAATTCTGCTGCTGAAAGTTATTCAAAAGTAAATGCTTATTTTGGTGAAGAATTCTTACATTGAGAAGGGCAATTGGCCCAGGTGAGCACGGGTACAAACACGAGAAAAAGACGACAAACAGAAGAAGGTTTATCTTCAAAGATTTTCTGAAGTTCGAGAAGCGCTTAAACACTGGGCCACCGGCACCATTTTGGGAAACACAGATCAAGACGCAACATTTGAGTCGGTTCGCATCGGTCAGTCTTCGTACGGACAATCTGAAGTAGACAACTGCCAGCCAAAGCGGGTCCAGGCACAACAGAGATTGCAACAGAGTTTTGCCAACAGCTCAGGTTTGAAAGGAACGCAAAAGAATGCAGAAATTTCTGTGGCTTGAGTTACAAGGACTTCTGTAGCTTGCGGAATATTCGAAGCAGATTTTTGCCCTCAAGCAGGCGATCACCAAGTAAAGGATCACTGCAGCTCCACGGCGAACAAGCGGCTCAACCCTAAGAATCTGGTCGTTTGAGCATGCTCATAAGCACATCGGGAAGGACTCCAGCAATAAAGTCCCAAAAGAGTTCTTTTCTGCTTGAAGCAAACTCAGCTTGCAAAGAGCTGTATCTGACAAACCTTTGTTGCATCACTGAGCCAAAGATCTCCACCACTCTTGATAATGAGGAGCCGCAATTGTAAGTCACTTGTATCTACCAAAACGACACGCACACATCCTGTACACTACCCATTGAACCAAGGGCACTGTTCTGGTACTCAAAATCTCGACGCATATTCTTGGACATGCATTACCAAATGATTGATTGCTCAAGGCAATGTAACCAGATGTAGTGCTACTAAAGAAGAAAAGAAGGCAATCGAAAGCGAACCAGAGGAAGATAAACATTGACTCAAGAAACACAACTCACATTGTTGCCTTTCCAGACTTGATACACCTTGGCCATCAGCCCCGTCAACCAACATCCAACCTCCTGTTAGTTCACTCCCTCAGCAGGTGCTCAATCTGCTGCACTCTCAGAGAGAGTGTCTCGTCCACTTTTACCAGCAAGCAGCTGATCTCTTGCTTCACTGCCTGCTCTACTTCTGCTGACTTCAGCAATCTGCTGACTTGAGTAAGTAACCAATCTTTCCTAAGCAGAGTGTGCGCATACTACAGTAGTGCTACTTCATGCTGATCTTCAGGACATCTCAAAGCTTTCCATCGCTTTATTTCTGCCATGTTTGCACCATCATCCTATCCTACTTTACTAACGCCTCAAGTCAAGCAAGAGCATCCACAGGGCTAACACTAATAGAGGAAGTTGAAATAAGGCGAATTCCTCGGAGACTCTCAATCACCGAACATGCCAAATTTAAGCCCTTTCAGCACCCAAGACGCCCTTGATTGCACTCCATATGATCCTGGATGGGAAACCAGCTACTAGTTTTAAAGCGACGCCGGTACGAATTCAGAGAGCGCCCACTATTGAAAATTTCTCCAAGTTCGAAAACGACCACCCCGAGCGCTTACTAGCCGCAGGCCCAGAGACATCTTTCCTCCTTCGAACCCCCTCTGATTTGGAAGATCCCAACCACTTTACAGAAAGCTGCTTGCACAATCCCAAACTTGAAGAAGGAAATGAGAACCTCGCTTTGGCAGTAGGAAGGCAGCCTGGAAGCCGCCCCGCTGCGCCCCAATTGGCCTGCTGACTGATTAGCGCACTGCTGACGTTTGAAACTTAATCCAGGCTAAACCATGGAAACACACTAACCTTGTTGGCTTAACCCAACAAAAGTGCTAACAATATACCGTACATAGTGGAGCCCAGGCCTTGCCAAAGCCCTTTCGAGAAGAAAGACTGCCGCGCCTTCAGCAGCGGCGCGCGCGGCGCTTTTGTCTCTACTGCCAACGGAAACCAGCGGCGGCGCTGGAGCCTGGAGGTCAAGACTCAAGGTGCAGACGCTCATTGAAGTCATTGGCAAGTCTGTCTGCAATGTGCTGTGAGGTGAGTTGCTCCATCCCTTCATCCCACCCCTTTTCAAAAAGAATGTGGCAGTCCCGATGCTCCACCTGATGAGCTCGGTGTGCTCAAAGTATGCCACCAAAGAAGAAAACTCACCCTGAAGAACACCTTTAAGGCACCCAAATTCCATGAGGCACCCAAAACTATGTCAGCCCCAGCTACTGCAGACAGTAAGGGAGCACAGGTGCAGGAGATAAGAGCCATTGGCCTTTCGTGAACTTGCGGTCCTCAGAAGATTCAAAATTTGAGGGCTGGTTGTCAAAAAAGCTGTGATCGAATGTTAGTCTGCGAGTTGCTGCACCAATGTAGTAACCCCTCTGAGCTTTGATTATAAGAACAACCATCAAGGCCATCCTCATGTATGCAGTCAAACCTTTGCTGCTTGAAAGTCAAATATATGATTCTGCGGAAAAGTGCGCAGCTGGAAGCAGATCAAGTATCTTGAATACCACTGAGCCGCTTGCCTTATGCGAAGTGGCAGGCACCAGACTGGCTTGCGTTGACAAAATATGCACGGACTACCCCTCTTCAATCTGACGCTCGCAATCCCCCCTCGCATGAGCTCACCGCAGAATTGCACACAGAATACAACTCTGAGACAGTATTCGCTCCTACTATCTCAGAGGGCCTTGCAGCTGCCCCAAGCCCCAGACAAGCATTCTGGGCCAGCTTGAAGCAGCTTGAAGCAGGGAAAGCTCAGTGAGCCGCCAAGCACGGAGGTGAGGCTGGCAGTTCCATCTCAAGTACAAGTACCTTATGATCCTCATCTTTTTTACAGCAGAGGCAATCTGAGGTTACGTCCTGTCTTTGTTCCGGCACAGCTGTTTGCATGAGACTACGTTTTGAGCTGAGCGTTACGCACAACTTGAAGATAATCTGTTTGAGGTCGAGCACAAAGTTCTGAAAACTTGGTTCAAGTGAAAACAATCGAAAGACTTCTGATTGTTGGACATTAGGCATTAGGACAAGGTTGCGCCATGCCTTTCGGTCAGGAACTGCACGTCTATGGGATTTAATTTCGTTGGATCTTTGACTGTCCTTGTTCATACCAACTACTCTCGCCCATTACATATGAAGCCTTGTCGAGTCTCTTACTGCATCAAGAACATATGTGCTCAGCAAAGCTAAGGGTTCCTCCTGCATCCTTCATAAACCCTCTTTGCTGCCTCCTAAACGACGAGAGTTCGTCCTCTTTCCCATCTTGACTACTACCTTCGTCCCTTGTCTTCTTGGTTCCCTTCTCCCAATGCGGTCCACTTACTTTCATCTGTTTCCTCTACCTCCCATCCCGTCTTTCCTCCCCTCTTCTTGTTCCTCTTCTTCGTCCTTGTTATGTTGTTCAAGCTTCGTTTCTCTGATCAACTGAAAAGTTGCTTTGAGAGCCCTGAATTTACTTTAAGCTGAGGCAGATTTGGTCACTACCTGCTTTGAGCAGTTGCACGAACAAAGAATCTGAAGTAAGAGTACATTCTACACTTATGTGTGCGAACGGAGTCGATGAGCGGTTGAGTTACTGATTGGGCTGCTTATTTTTTGTTGCAGCTCCTCAATAGTCCTCCATTCTGGACTTGAAGTACGTTGGTCGTTACCGTTCATATCCAATGCAGTAGATCTCCTTAGCTAAAATAGCCTCTGCTTGATAGCCGATTAGAGGGCGTGTTGTAAGGCGGCGAGGCATGCACAGGAAAGAATTCGATTAGGCATCCCTTCAAACGACCCAGACTACTTGACAAGAGCCCCAATCGTCCCCTTTTAGACCAAGCACAGAGTGAGCGAGATGCGCTGCTCCCGAGAATAGCTCATGGCTGGCAAGCGCTCGCTTCCGCTTTCTTTAGCGGCTCTCTTTACTCTGACCGTAGCTTGGTCAGCATGGAGGGGGTTGACAGACTTAAACAGTCGCCCAGAAGGTTGCACGATGACGTACATGTACCCAAACTACGTCCCGATCAACATGACGTCAGGCAACATGCTCGAGCCAGGGGTCGCAAGCAAGGGGAAGTACGGGCTGTTCCTGTATGCGGAGGTAGGCATTCATTTTCTCGGTTTGGTCCCTTGGAAAACTTCCAGAGTGTGCGACTCAGTTCGGACGTCACGTTTGAGTTGTCCCAACATGAGGGGGTAAGGTGTCAAAAACCAGGCCGTTTGCAGTCAGGTCTGTTTTAACGAAGAGTTGACTCGTGCAATTGCGTTCATGAGCCCCTGTGTCCGCCGCAAGCAGGACAGAAGCTGTTGCGAAAATAGTCTTTCCACACCACAGTTCACCACCTCTACGTGCTTCAAACTTGATTGTCACATTCTTGAGATGATGTGCGGTCTTCATCAACCTTCAAGTGCCGGATGGGAGGCTGGAACAAAACGAAGGACGAAGATATACACTACCGACGTCCTATCAAGTTTGAATTTTAATGCCGCCCTGCAGGGTTGGAGAAATGTCGATTTTCGGGAAAGTCTCAGGCGCCTGTCCGGGGTACCTGTTCTGTTTATCCCTGGCAACGCCGGCAGCTACAAACAGGTAACAGCCTTTCTGACGCCTTTTCTGCCCTTCTTCTTGTTCAACAGTGACGAATTCTGTCTCCTGTCGTAAGTGGAGTCCTTCTTGATCTTTCTGCGCAACTTCGGATTTGGACGATGTTGATCTGATTGTGATTCTTGTCCTATCTTCCAAAGAAAGGCGATCCCCGCGCTTTGCTTCTGGTCAGTAGCACGCTCTGGCGGCAGATTACGCTCCATGAGGGCCGATTTCGAGTTGTCAAGTCAGCGCCGTTCGATAGGGTTTGGTTGTCGCAGCTCTCTGTCGAAACCCTTCTGTAAGAGTTGTGAAGCCAGAAACAGAGGGAACGCTGTTGCTGGCGAAGATTCTCACGACATGATAGGACACGTGGCTAGATTTGGTTTCAGAGTCATTTGATTGCATGGCAACGTGTCGTACTGACGATGAAGGACACGAAGCTTGTGCGCAGTCGATCGAAATGCTGGAAGCTTCGCCCACGCTTATCTGGAAGATCCCGAGTTGGGATTTAGAAGCAATTGTTGACACAGTTTAGCCACGTGTCGTATCATGTCAGCAACACCGGTCCCATTGATCCAGGCTTCACAACTCGGACAGAACTCTGTAACAGAGGTTTTTTAACCAAAGTCATGTCAACGGCGCTGAAAGGCAGTTGAAACCTGTCCTGAAGGACCAGTACCGCAATCTGCATCCGGAACGGGCTACCGACGGGAAGCAAAGCGCGTGAAAAGTAACCGTTATAGATATGCCTGGCTTTGAAACCTGTTCCATCTCGGTTCGGATCATCTGAGACGGGATCTGTCATTCAGGTGTTCCATCGGCGACTATGGAAGCAGAGCCAAGTCCGTGTAAGACTGTTGGAATTTCGGATGCCGCCCTTATTTGAGCAATTGCAAGCACTTCCAGAACCAGATCCTTGTTGACGTCACTGAGGAAGTGACGCAGGTCAACTGACTGCTGACGTGTCTCCCGTCTTCCAGGTCCGCTCGATGGCCTCCGAGTCCACCCGCCAGTTCGAGAGCGGCTTCACACCGGCAGCCGCGCCTGTTCCCACCACTATTCCCCGGGCCATGCTCGAGGGCGCCCACAAGTGCTCGAAGGAAAGGTGTCAATACGCCAGCCGCCTCGACTGGTTCGCGGTGGACTTTCTCGAGGAGTATTCCGCTCTCGACAGCCGGATCTTGCAAGACCAGACGGAGTTTGTCGTGAAGGCGATCGAGAAGGTAAGGGGACTAAGTTTGTGGCACTCTTTCAAGCAGCGCAGTCCCATCTGCCTTCTAGGCAAAGTCTTGGTCTCGATAGATGCGGGACGAAATTGGGCAAGTGATTTGGATACATATTTTGATGTGCCTGGCTGGGAGACGTAGAACAGCGATAGGGGAACAGGAACCAGAGCCAATAGCGGATTTGGACGATTCAGAAGCATGCGCATGCTGTAGATCCTCATTGAGTATCCAACTCTTGCCTACGAACTGGATTGTTATGGTGGATAGCTGAGTCAGGAGACAGGATGTCAATCCTGCCGCTCCGTTAAACGGCTCGTTCTGACAAGCTAGCGGCGCCGTAACGGCGCATAAGTCGAGGGAAACGATGCACCCGCAGACTCTCACAATCGCCAGTTCCTTCAACCACCTATTTTGGACGTTAAGTCTAGAGAGTATTCTCAGGCCCATAAGCTGGTCTATTGTTCCCGACTTCATAACATTAGACGCTTCGATATTTGGGTTTGTCTTGCAGGGGGACCACTTCCGGCGGATCGAGCAAGGGAAAACCGCTTGCAAAACCTTTCCAACGGATTCAACTAAGAAAGAAGAGTTTACAACGTGTTCCAATGGTGCCATTTTTGACATCTCCATTTGGACAGCGGATCTGCACCAGTTATAAACGCGATGCTGAAATGAGTTACTAAAGCTTCTTGTGAAATTCTAATTGCAGATTCTGGATCTGTACAAGCAAGCGGCCCGGTTCCGGCGGATCAAACGAGGGCGGAAGCGCACGCGCCAACTTCCTACAAACGTCATCTTGTTTGGGCACTCGATGGGAGGCGTGGCTGCGAGGGCCGCTCTGTTCCACCCCGCGTTTCGGGAGGGGAGCGTCAAAACCATCGTTACGGTCGCGACGCCGCACAGGTAACGCTTTGCGTTTTGGCAGAGGCTTTGAACCATGGTTTGTTCTTTCGTCGAACCTTTCCGATCAATATTTTTGTCGAAGACTGATCTACATGATTGTTCTGGCGTGGCCTTGCTCTTGAGAGGCGCTCAGCGAAAGAGTCGGTTGTCGGCTTCCGCGCACGGAAGGTCTTGCGTTGACCTTTAGAAGGCTCGTCTGCTGCCCTGAACACACTAGAATTGCTTCAATTGTTCCGTGGTCTAAAAAGATACTGCTGGTGAGTCGGTAACTTCAGTCATTCCGAGCGGTTGTACACCTGGGCATACTTGATACGCAAAAATGAAAGGGTTGTGACACGACCCGTCCTTTAAGCCAAGAAAGTTGCACAAGAAAGTTTGCAGCTTTGGTCCGGTCTTTACGTCTCTTTGAGCGCTCAGTACCACTTTCAACTCGATTTCCGTGACCCTTTCTTGCAGGTCTCCCCCAGTTCCCCTGCAATTGAGCGGCTCCCTTTTCTACTCCAACTTCAACCGTAAATGGCGCCAAGGCTTCGCCGATACCGGGCCCCTGCGTGACGTCATCGTCGTTTCCATCAGCGGGGGGTCCCGCGACACCCAGGTCCGGACCCCCCTGATGCGGCTAGACGGGATCGTACCCCCCCGGAACGGCTTCAGCGTCAGTGCCTCGGCGGTTCCGGACGTGTGGTTGGAGACAGACCACCAGGTCATCGTATGGTGCAACCAGCTCGTTGTCAAGGTCAGTCAACTTTTACCCTGTTTGTTTCGTGCTGTTCATTTTTGTTCCTCCTGTTGTGGCTGAAGACAAGAGTCCTTCTCTCTCCGCGATTAATTCTGCTGTTTTGCTTCCCTGTTTTACATGTTCCTGGGTTGACGAGTGCAATGCACAAAGGTGTGTGTAGCAGCGGTTGTTGAGGTAGAACTTGCTTCAGTTGTTTCGGAAGTTTCACTCTCTCTACAAATTGAAGGCCAGTAACCTGATCAACGAACACACCATGCGGTTCCTTGGACACAACATACACTGTCCTCTCTTTCCTGCGTCATTAGTGCCTTACTCAAGCATCTTCTCGGTACCGCTTTCTGTGTCGGCAGACGTTTTTTCTTGGCGACCCTGCGATGCATCAAATCCTGCTGAAGTCGGTGTTCTTACTCTTGCAGCTGTCCAAGGCTCTGCTCCTTCTATCCGATCCCGCCACCCGCCAACCCCACGACTCCCGAGTCGTCCGCCGGGAGATCCTGGCCGCTAATCTAAGGAGCGCCCTCCCGGAGGCGCTCGGATGGCTGCCACGTGGCAGCTGGACGGGCGATTTAGACTCGGAAGATCTGGCGGAAATCCAGTCGCTTCTGCCACCGGGAAAAGGTCTTCAAAAAGCTGGAGAAGGTGTAAATGATGGACAAGGAGACGCGACGACCAAAGAGGCATCGGACGGTGCAGAAGGGTTCGAACCGGAGCTTGAAAGAGAGGTTACAAGTGAAGAGTCGTCAAAAAGCGGTATTGCTTCGGGGCCGGGGTATCGTTCGCTTCCAGAAAAGGAGCCGACGTCACAAACGTTGCGGGCTAAAGCCGACGGAAGAGACTCTGAACGAGAAACGAGTCGGGAGGAAACTGTGAGCGCAAAGAGGGCGGAAAGAGGGCGGAACGACCAGAAAGCAGAAAGAAAACGGACTGACGAGGCGGATAGCGAACGGACACACGCGAAACGGTACGGAAGAGCCTGTCCCAGCGCGTCAGAGCTCGACGGAACAGCAGAAAGGGAGGTTGTGAGTGGCTCTTTTTTGGCGCTGGAGAACGCGGACGCGAGGCAACGGTGGTTTGACGTGAGAGCCGGACGACAGGGTTTGACAAAACCTCCGGTTCTGGTGACGTCACGGGGTTTTGTGGTCCTTTTCAATTTGGAACCGTGCACCGAGGTTCGAATGTGGATGGTTCGAGGAAGCACGTCAGCGGAGCCAGTTAGCCGCAAGGAGGGAAACAGTTCCGGGCGGACGGAACCGGAACAGCAAGCGGCAGACGCGGAACGAGAAGAGGCGAAACAACAAGGGCGGGGCAAGGGATTGGATTCCAAAGGGGCGGGAGTGGAACGGCCGAGTGCTGAATCGGAGCAGCGAGGGGCGGAACAACGAGGGGCGGAACCGGAACGGCGAGGGCCGGAAGCAGATCGGCGGAATGCTGCCGAGGGGGTGACGTCCATACCGGGTGCTGCGAAAAGATCGAACGAGAGTCTGGAGGAAGAGCGGGCCTCTGGCGTGGACGGAACGGAACGGGTGCGGAACGAGGCCTTGGACCGAGCGGAACAGAAGCGGAACGCGGGAAGAGCGGTCAGCGAGGTGACGCTGCAAGCGGGGCGTCTTCCTGCAGGTGAGCAGACGCTTTCCCGAGGCTTCAATTCCAGTCATAGGCTTCTGCTTTTTCCGCTATACTTTGATTGCAAAAAAGAAAGTCAATCAAAATGGTGAGCAAAGCCTCGGAACTTGCGTTCAATTGCCGGCTTCAAATACGCGCTAAGTACCTTGAAATTTCAGTAAAAATGATCCACAAAAAAGAAGCAGGACATTCTGTTCCGCTTTGCTGAGAGGGTGTCTCACCCCGGTCTAGACGGTGCAGCGTCAACAAGCTGAGTCGCTATCCCCTCTATGCACAAAGGCCCCAAAGGAAAACAACGTACTTCGCTCCTCAACTAGAACGGGGCGGAGTTGTGCGTGATCATTTGAAACCGGACGGTGCACGTTCCAGAGTACCGTCCAAATCGAACGTCCAAGTTGAACGTCAGAAAATTGACGTCGCCGTCGTTTTAAAGGTGACGCCCTGTAGAGTCCCGACGCCCACTTTGAGCTTTCGGCAAATACCCTCTCGCTTTCCGTAGGTACGTACCTCCACTTCCAAGCGAACCGTTTCACCTGTTGTAAGAGTCAGACTGCCGCGTGAAAGTACTCGACCGAGTTTTGCCGTGTTTCGCAGGTAGCCTTCTGAGCCAATCGGGCAGCGACCGACCCACGTGGATCCTGAGACTGCTCCCCGAGGAACTTGCTGACGTGGACTGGGTCGTCATCGAAACGTCCCGGGCGGACGAGAGTCCGCCGGCCGCTGAACCCGTTCTGTTTGCCCAATTGATCCAGCCAGGGGAGGGGACCTTGCAACTAGGGTGGCGGGACCTGTTGGCGACCTCCATTTTCCCTCGGGTGTGTGGCTTTTCGCAAACCATTCTCTGGAGCGCAAACCTATTGTCGGACAATATCGCACCGTGGGGCTCAGTAGAATTTCCGTGTTTGTTGAAGCAGACCTTCCGCGACTTGTGAGCACAGTGGATCAGCATCGCTTATGGACGAGGTGTAGCAGACCCGGTCCTCTTATTTTGTGGCCTCTCGGAAAGCCCATAGCTGATGGCAAATCACGTGTTAGCGCGCCTGCTTGATCGCATCTTCTCTTCCGCTGCTCAGGTTCTCACGCTCCCGGAGGGGCATAGCTTGTGGACTGAGGTCACGGCCCCGCTGCCCTTATCGCTTCTCCCGATGACGCTTCGGTTCACTCAGCGCGACTGCCCGGCGGTTCAGAAGGGGGACCCAAAATTGGATACAGGTGAGCTGATAGGGTGGTCACATCTGTTTTCCTTTCAAATCGGCACACCGGCCCTAAGGGTGCGCACCGACCCTAGAAACTCACTTTGGGCGCACTTCGCATTTGTGAGGTCACCCGGACAGACGGCTTGAACGCTCCGCTTTTCGCGGCCCAGAGTCTCGCTTGTATACTGCGCGCACCGACCCTAGAGACTTTTTCCGAGGTCCGAGTGCGGTCGCCCCCACCCTAGAAAGGTTGCGACTTTTAGCTTTGGGGTGGAGATCCCGCCCCGAGGGTTGGATATTCCGGCCTCAAGGGTCGGCGACACCTCAAATGTGACCATCCTATCAGCTGGGGATTCGATGTTTGGTCGCAACTTTGCAAATAGGGAAGCGTGCTTCTCGGGTCAAGGGGCCTGCTGGTAACAGATCCGTACAACCCTCGATTGCATCGTTTGCAAGTCGGTGGCGGAGGGTGAGAAGTAATCTGACGTTCAGGTGAAAATCTCTGGAGCAACCGCGAGAGGAACGATATCGGGGCAAAAGCTGACTGAGAAAGCCGATTTTGATCGAAGGTCCGCCTTTCAAACATTGACCGACTCTCCGCTTTTCTGCAGGGACGTGCTCGGCTCCATGCTCGCCGCCTCTAGTTCTCGCCTGGGACCCGTCCATCGAACAGGAGCGCATTTGGACGGTCACAAACGCGACTACCCTCCAAACGGACGGCTCGCCCGGGGGGGGCGCGTCTAAAGGGGGAACGAACCCCCCCTCCGTGATCCTTTCCGATCCACGCTGCGGTTATCGCGTCTCGGTTACGATAGCGCCCCACCTGGCCTGCTTCCGTTTTCTGGCGACAAACGCGCCCCGGATCGTCAGCTTCGCGGTCGCCCTCGTCCTGTTCATTCTCGCAGTCCAGTCACACCCTCGGAAACCGGGGAAGCAGACACCGAACCCAGTAGCCGCTCTTTGCCAGCTGTTAACCCTCCAAACCACGCCGTTAACCCTCCGAAGTTTGCTGTTAGGCCTCCAAACCCCCCTCCGAACCCGTCTGCCCGTGTCGCTCGTAGTCGTAGCATTAGCTGCAGCCCTGATCCCCATCAGCCGCTCCCTAGAAGCTGCCCGGGCAATTCGAGTGACGTCAGCCGACGTCTACCTGCTGACGTCATCCGCCTTGGCGATGACTTTTGCTGTCGGGTTAGTAGCGCTCCTCGCGGCAGCGCAGGCGACTTTGCTTCGCTTGGTTTTCTGGAGCTTGCAAAGGTTTCGTAGCACTCAGAAAACGTCGTGTACCGCGCCCGAGTGGAAACATGATTGGCGCCTGACGGGAACGACGCGCGTCTTCGTGGGCTGCTTTAGCGTCGCCGCTTGCCTGTTGATCCATCCGGCGATTGCTCTACTGGTAATTTTAGTCGTCCGCACGTTAGACACAGTAACGGAAAGCTGCCGGAGTCGAGATCACGACGAGCGTAGGACTCTCGTCAAAGAGCCCAGTGCCGACACTAGCACCGACGGTCGAAGCGTTGTAGCTAACGGGGAACAAACAGGAAAGGCGGGCGTGGCTACAGCAGTGCCACGTGGCAGCACGGGGTACGGACACGTGTCCACAAAGGACCAGTGCGGGGCGGCCTTGCAGCGGCAAAGCGGTTGCCTCCTGCTCGCCTTCCTGAACTTCGTAGTAACCGCCCCCTCCGGGTTTGCATCGTTGCCGTGCGTTTTACGACGCTGGCGAGCCCCCTCGGCATTAAACTCGTTGCTCGTGATTGCCCCCATTGTAGAAGCTCTGCTTTCACCACATGATCGCTTGCAAGGTGGACGGAATAGGATCGGCTGCTCAATCAACCAGACTGTCAGGTCGTGTTTGTACGTGCTGTTGGGTGCTTATGCGTGCTATGAAGGGTTGGTCGAGAGTCCGCTAGGTGCCGCACCTGTGTTTACGTTTGCGGCACTTGTAGGGCTGTTTTTCTCCTAGAGGATGGAGTTCGTGGATCTGAGGTGACTTAGGCTTAGGAACAGTAAGGTTGAGGTCCAATCCCCATCATTGGAAAGCTTTTGATGCTTAGATCGGATTGCACGCTTCACAATCCGCGAAATCTAGAGCAACTCAACGAGAACATCTGAGAAATGCTTCGATCTAGTAGGCTAGTGCACCGAGATTAACAACATGAAATGATGACGGCTATCGTACCGTAGTACCACTGCCAATCCGCCGCACCGCCCGCAGTGGCACTTCCGTGAGTTTTGAAACGCATGAGGGGGCCGACTCGGCGACGGTTGCGGCCGCGGCGGCCCATGCGCTATAGGAGTGAGTCCGGCTGCCATCATCGCATAGCCCTTGACTCATATGTCGGACATGTCCGCCATGAGTCAACGAGCTGATTCAATGATTAATGTGTTGATCGAGTCCAAACTATCGTCATATGCATGACGGTATTAAGAATCAAAGCTAGGTAGTAACTTGCCAGACGTATAGTAAAAGACGAGAAGTACTTATGTGATTTGACTATCATTCCAAGCTAGAAATCTCAAGCATCTGATGCCCTTCGAGGCCCTCGCAATGCGAAGTCACGTGTCGGCCAGGTTTGTTTTCCACAAACAAGTACCCCCCCGGTGTCACTCGTTTGTGCATGATGGAAGTGCCATTAACATCTGCATAAAGCTTCAACGTTTGGCAAGCAATCATTTGATTAGTTTCCCAAGCATGAGTACTTTTTAAGTTTGCCATGAGTCCTGCTTGTACTCCTGGCTAGGAAAAGCTAGCTTCACGCTTTGTTACAGGTCATGTATAGTACACACCGTCCATTATCCAGTGAGAAGGTTTTTTCGCGGCCCTGCACTCAGGGCCTAGAGGCTTACACTGGTCGCTCCCTATAAAATTGAACCTTTAAACCTTGCTTGCAGTGCTCACGAAGTCCTCCATCGCTCGCAGAATCCCTGGGTACTGACATAGTTGAAACCGCAGCGCAAGAGTAACCCCCATTTTGCCTATTGCATATACCACTCTCTCCTTCGCATACGCATTCTCACCCCTCATCACGCCAACGAACCTAGACAGGCATCTTGGAGTTGCGAAGACCCGCCTCGCGTTTGCCGAGCAGATTGACAGGTTCTGCAGCGCCCTCGACGCAGCCATCTGAACCTCGGCGCTCTCCCTACCCAGCAGGCTGACCACCTTGTCGGCGAACCCTGGGAAATCAGCGAGCGGTCCCCCATCTTCTTCGTTCGCCAGCAGATTGGCCAGCGTGGCTGTGGCCCCCTCCGCAATACCCGCGCTCTCGTCATCCATGAGGCTAACCAGAGACTGCAATGACCCTGGCAAAGTTGCGATGTGCTTGGCAGCCCCCTCGTGCACCGACAGGTTCTGCAGCGCCTCCAAGGCTGCCTCCCTCGTCGATGCCTCCTCGCTCTTTAGAAAGTTCACTAGCCGCTCCGCAACGTTGGGTAATTCTACGACGCCAATGCGGGTATCGTCTTCGTAAGCAAGGAGAGCCAACGCTCGCGCAGCGCACCCCTGCGCTTTGCAACTAGAGCCGGGCTGCAGCAGGGACGCGAGGCCTTGCAAGCAGAGGCGGTCGACGCCTAGGACTGTCCTGTGCTCGTCGTCCGCCACAAAGTACTCCATTATCTCGGCCCCAGCCTCTCGAACCTCCCCGTCCTCCGCGCTCAGAAGCCCGATCAACCGCCTGAGCGTCAACCGCACCTTCGCTACGCTCTTCCGCACGTCGTAGTCGGACATTACGGAGGTCAGCACCTTGGCGGCCCCGGCGTTGCCGCTTGCGTTCTCCAGGAGCTTCCGGTGACACCCTGCCGTGTGGAACATCGCTCTCCTCGTCCTGAGCTCCACCATGAGCAGATCCAGAAGGTTTCCCACTGAATCTTGCACCCTGGGATTTTTGCCACATAGCAGCTGCACTGATCGCTTGAGGAGACCAGAAACGGTATCCACTATAAGCACTCGTGTCTCGGAGCCTCCGAGACTGACCCTGAGCAGCGCCCTAGCCGCTCGCTCTTGGCAGGCGCTGTTTCTACTGTGCAAAAGGCCGCCCAACCCGCGCAGAAGCCCCCACGTTTTAGCCATGGCTTGCTGATCCTCTTTGCTGTCCGCCAGCAGCCAGATGAGCTCCGCCGCCCTTTCCTGGACACCGCTGCATCCGGATTGCAAACAGGAAACCAACGTTCGCAAAGAACCCCTGGCAGCAAGCACACGCTTCTTGATTCCGCCGTCCCGGGCCAAGGAGACCAGGAGGTCTCCTGCCGCTTTCTTCAACTTTCCCTCGCTAGTGCTGTCAAAGAGGAAGAACAGGCTTTCGATGCTCCCTGGGACTTGTGCTATTGCTGCTGCGCAACCAGCGTACCGCAGTTCTCCCAACAGGTCCACCGCTACGAGAGTGGCCGCAGGACTGCGGCTCATCAACAGAGCCACAAAGCTGTCAAGACTCCTTGGCACAGCCATCTTTGCTGGATCGCTCCTGTCAGCAACTCCTGATTTCCCCCCGCGGCCCCAGAGGAAGAGTTTGCCAGGCCACATTGCTCGACAGCTGTCATAGTCGCCCCCTAAGTGCTGGTGCATCTCTAAACTTTCGAGCGCCGGGAAAAGCTGCAGGAAGGCACCAAATTCTGGAGCCGGGATTACCAATCCCATACAGCGTCAAGGACTGCAGCCGGGGAAAGGGCTTTTGTAATTCATCTAAGTTCAGATCAACAGCGGGAATGTACCATGAACGCCCAAACCCCAGCTCCCAAAGAACGATGTCCAGGATGACCAAGTTCTGGCACCCCTGAAACAGTGAGAAGACACCACTCCAGTCCTCATAGCGCACTTTGACGCTGATGAACAGGTGGAACTCCTGTAGACTGTTCCGATATTGGACAGCTATCAGCTCAAGAATGCTGCTGAGGCTGTAGACGTTGCTAGGATCGCCAATCACTTCAAGCGCAACCTTTTTCAGCGGCCCCAAGCGATTGCTCTCTAGGTAGCGTCTGAGGACATCAGCATTCCCAGGGGCGACCAGATCCCATGCTAAGGAGTCCAGCAGTGGAACCAACTTTTGAAACCTCTTGCATGTGGCCTCCAAACTGACGCGATCTCGGGCTTTCCACTGGGTGAACCTTTCCGAGGGCCGCGCCCAGAGCGCTTTCTGGAACACGATTTCGAGCAGGTCATTGCTCAATCGCTCGAAGTGATTCTGGCCAGGGGCCATTCTGTACTCCATTTAGACGCCAGCACCCCAAAAATGCCTGTCTGACGCGTCTCCAGAACATGCGGTGTTGAAGTTGAAGCAACAAGTCTCCTCATGGGCTCAGGGCCCTGGAGGTTCAAGATTGAAGATTTTGATTTGAAAAGTTTCAAATTTGGAGGACATGGCGGGAAGCTTTGCTGTGCACTAGTGTGGCGGCACTTTCTTACAGCTTGCGGTAATAGAAAGAGTCGTCACGGTCTCAAACACCTCGTAACCATTATCACATTGCAGTCACTGCAGTTCCGATTCGCGTCGAAGACACTCATGTGCCATACAGCTCTGAGATATTTTCGACAAAGTCAAGCTGTGCGCGAGCATCTTTAGGGCGGAAGCCGTTGCAAGGGCTGGACCAGCTGTTGTGAGTCAGTGTTGAGCAGGCTGGGGCGTGCAATTGGATTTGAAGCCAAACCGGAAGAAAGCCACGCTTGTATGGTCCTTCTGGTGATCCTCTTTCAGTTCTATTATTCAGTTGGATGGTTTGACGTGGTTCTGTCTCCAGCTGCTGCCTCCTAATATTAGCTAGATGCTTGGAGAGGCTTGGTCCCAGCTTCTGGTGGTTACCGCCACGTTGCCGCCCTTGCGCTCGTCAAATCTGCATTTGGGCAAGCTCAGTTTGGTAGCTAGTCTTATATTTTTCTGAGCAACAAGGCATGCAACCGTTTATTCTACTTGTCATCGGATCCGACAGATTTTGATTGCTCTCTACTTGGTAGATTAGGTTATTGGCCTGATTGGCTTTTGGTTTTGCTGAGCATTTGGAGCGGCACTCACTTGCAACAACCGGAGGAAGCTCGGATAAACAGCTAGCAGTTCTTCCTCATTTCAGCGGCAGGTTACAGTTGCCTTCTTTCATAGCTGCTAACCTGGTTCCTGACACTGCACCCCGACATGATACTGCCGTCATGCTACCAGAACTTGAGCAGTTTCATCACGTAGAAAGTTTGCAGCCAACCATTCGGAAGGGTGCTTTACAAGGCACAGCAGCGCGGAGACGCAATAAGCATGCTGCTTCGTAACGTCCCACCTCCTTTGCTACCAGGAGAACAGTTATACGAGCTCTAAGGTGCCAAATTGAGAAGGGACACAGTATCTGTATGAGATGGAAGGACCAATCAGCGGAATGAGGTCATCTTGGCCGGCGGGACGGCCACAGGAAGCCCCAGCTACTAGCCGCTCTTTCAAGCTCAGAAAATTGCTGTTGAGATACTACCCCCCTGGAATCATTTTGGAGTATGAGGATCAAGCGGGAGCAGTTCAGCAAAGCAGCCTGGATCTGCTGAATTTGGATGCAGACACGGATGTCGAGGTAAGGAAACCCTTCTCTAAACCCATTTTTGCTTTTGAAATGATTGAAACCTGACATCAGCGGAGAGCAAAGTGGACCTGCTGGACGTAGACACTGATGTGGAAGGTGAGGAAACCGTTTTCTTAACCAACTTATGATTCGGCAAAGAGTTGATCCTTTTCGCGAGAAAAAATCAACTGCACAGCAGACTAACCTGCTGATCTTGCATATAGACTCGGATGCTGAGGTGAGGAAACCCTTTCCTTAACAATTGAAGCCTTTAAGTGACTGCTGATCTTGGGGACGAAACTTGGCAGGGAACCTTTCCTCAAAGCTGAAGTTCACTATAACCTTGACTGGTTACCCTGTGGTTACTCCAATCCAGTACTTCCACAGGATGTGGGCGCCAATAGAGTAAGTGCATGTGAATTTACACTCGGGCGCGAAATGGCTTTCCATTTCTCCTTTTTAGAGCACCTATATCGGAAGAGCATTTGATCAGCATGCTGCATGCACATGAAACGGTTTGGCAAGACAACTGGTTGGGTTTCCAAGGAACTTGTGTACCTCTTGGCTATGTTAGGACCCCCCTCATAGCACCTGCTATTCTGCAAAGGCAGAGCTTCAGCTTGTTACCTAGCAGTCCTTTTGATTGAACGCAGGAGCGCCTGTTCAGCACGGGAAAGTTTGAAAACAACGCTCAAGATTGGCGGGGCATCTGTATCTTAGAACCAAGGCATGCTGCGGGCAGGCAATGGATGCACCCCCAAACCATCTGAAATTTACGACAGCTGCCATTCTGGACTTTTCAGACCCTTAAACCATCATCTGATCAATTCCTGAGGCAATGCAGCGTGGAGGGCCTTCTTCCCACTATTGGCATGATAATGTTCCTTTCTGAGAAGATTAGATATCATATCAATCAGCCTGGGTGCTTTTGGCAGGCGGTGTGCAGCGAGATCATCGCGCAGGAGGGCCTGGTCGGCGAGAGCCGGCGCGGCACGCTGCGCAAGATGGTCGAGAAGCTGCAGAAGAAGATGCGCACGGACGCAGGGGCGCACCAGGAGTTCCGGACGCACAAGGTCAGCAGAGGCGCAACCGCTGACGTCATCGCCTTCACTTTGTTTTTCTAGCTGCTACTTCAGGTTATCTTTGGGCTTAGGGTTTGTTTGGACTTTTGCGAGCCCTGACGGGGTCGAGAAGCTGCAGAAAAAGATGCCCGCGGACGCAGAAGCCCACATCGGACGCACAAGGTCAGCGGATGCGCGGCCACCTGACGTCATCATGTCCACTTTCTTCTTTCCGGGCGGTGCGTGTTGTTTTTAGAACCCGCGTTTCTGTCAAAACTTTTGAGAACCACAAAGATGGTCCAGAAGCTGCAGAAGAAGGTGTGCAGGGACTGGGGCCGCACCCGGAGTTTGGGACGCACAAGATTTCCTGTGGGGCCACCGCTGACGTCATCGGTTTCGCTTTGATTTATCAGCTTCTGGATTTTGTTATCTTTGGATTTTCTTCGGGTCGGTCACGAGCCCTGAACACGCTTGAGAAGCTGCAGAAGAAGATGCGCTCGGACGCAGGGGCGCACCAGGAGTTCCGAACGCATAAGGTCAGCAGATGCGTGCCGCTGACATCATTGCGTTCAGTCTTTTTGACCAATGTGGTCGAGGGTATCTCGCTGGACTCTGGGGTTCCGGACAGAAATGTCGTGAGCCCTGAAGGTGGTCAATAGGCCGCAGAAGAAAATGCGCGCAAGGAGGGTCGGACCGCTGTCAGCAGGAGTAACAACTGCTGACGTCATCGTGTCCTCTTCAACCAATGCGTTTGAGTTCGTTGTTAGACTCTGGTTCCGTTCAGCACTCTTGGGAGCCCAAATGGTGGTCAAGAAAGTCTTGCAATGTGGATGCTTGCGGCCACAAGGGCGCAAGAGCTGACCAGTATTCACAAGTATGACCGGGAAATGAGAAGGATTGAGTCCGTCAAGGCTGACGTCATCATTCATATCCTACCAAGCACCGTCGTGTACTCGGGAGGGTGGTTGAAAGTATGCAGAAGACGATGCATGCTGTCGTGGGGTGAAGCAGGAACTCCATGGCTCAGGGAGAAGAAGGAGAAAGCTTTTGACAAGCATCACTTCCTCGTCATTCTGGATTCTAGGGGTTCCTGGTCTCTATGCATCGGCTTTTCGGCAAGCAGGTTGGGGTTCTCAAGATGCCATGTGAACCCTTCTGGATGTTCTCCAAGCCCGGGTCTTGGAAGGTCGCATCTAGTGCTTGCAAGATCCCGAGAGAGCGCTTGACGTTTGATCCTTCACTAGACGCTGTCTGTTTCTATACCCACATTCAGGTTAGCGCCTCCACGATACCCATGAAAAGACTTCTGAAGCTCAGCTTCCTCTTGAAGCTCCTCGAACAATCAGCCTTTCTCTTTAAGGTCCTCAGAATAGTCAATTAAAAGTCCTCAAGTCAACCTTTTCTTAGATTTACCCTTTCTTGCAGAGGTCTTCAGATTAACCCTTCTCCATGACAGGTGTTGAAAGCCCACATGCTGCCGTTAACCAACTGTGCCTTCAATAAGTCGGGGGACCGCTTCATTACTGGCAGCTATGACCGCACCTGCAAGGTAAGGCTTTCTGAATCCGAAGCATCCCACTCCTCCACTTTCTGCCTCTGTCTAGTTGCTTCTGCTGGGTCTGCACATGCACCTTTGTCTCCGCTCCGCCGTTTTGCATACCGGGATATTTTTTGGTGTGAGACTCTTTGACACTGCTTTCAGCAACACGAAGGATTAAGATTCGACACCGGGTGGAGTGCTTTACAGAAGACTATTTTTTAGCCGGTGCCTCTGTGCTGTCGAAAAGAACGTAGCCCGCCTTCAAGCACCCCACTGTCACTTGAAACCCCAGTTGTCTCTTTGACCGCACATTGGCATTTGTTCCAGCTTTGCTGGATGTAACGTCTGGTTGAAGAACCCCGGATTTCTTGCTGAAGCATCCACGATCCTTGCTCCTGTTGAACGATCCACGGTTTTCACTCTTATGGCATGGAAGCGGAAAAGTAGACGTTGAGTGTTGAGATAAATGAGAAGACCTTGACGACGTCACCGCTTCTTTGACGGCCGACCATACGCTATGCGCCTCTGCAGGTCTGGGACACGTACTCTGGGGCTGAGATCCACTCGTTGGAGGGGCATAAGAACGTGGTGTACGCCATAGCGTATAACAACCCGTTCGGCGACAAGATCGTTACGGGGTCCTTTGACAAGACCTGCAAGCTATGGCACGCAGAAACGGGGGAACTGGTGAGGGCCTCTTGACATCGTCTACAGTGTCCTTCGAAGTTATGTCCTCTGCGGTTAGACCTGATTTCAGTGCTTCCATTTTCAACGATAAAAAGAACGGCGTCCCGCTCAGTTTGGCGCTAGTCCCCTTGGCTCTCAGTAGCGTAAGTCACAAACTTTTCTGTCGTTGGGCGCTCGTATCTGCCCACGTAGATCGCTTATCACTTCTGTAGCAAGATCCAATCAGTGACACAAAAAATCTGGGATCCCGGTTGCTAATATAAACGTCGCCAAAGACATCCTCATTTCCGGGACCTTCGCTTTGCTGCCTCTTTCTTTCGTTTGCTAGACCCCTCCTCGCACTTTTAAGTAGCTTTCCGCTTGACGAGTTCTGCCCAGCTGCTGTTTAACCGTCTTCTTTTCCGCATCCAAATCGATTTTCACGTCGGTAGATCTCTCGAGCCCCCAGCGTACAGCCAATTTCTCACACTCCAGGATCTGAATGCCCAGACGATCGCCAGACTTCTCCTCAAGACAGAAACCCAGATTGAGCTAATAGGTTCTGACGAAGAGGACCCGAGAGGAGGGGGGTTTGAAGTTAGCAGGAGTATCCGCCGGTGCGGACTGTATTCCGCTCTTCCAGTCCGCTGCAGCAGATCTTACAAATACGAAAAGCTTGGATAGCGTCATCTTCCGCGCAGGTACACGCGTACGCTTCAAGACCACCGGACAGAGATCGCATGCCTCTCCTTTAACTGCAATCAACGATTTCTTCATCCGCAGCTTTAAAACGATTCCGCTGTTCCGGCCGCTACAACCGGATCCAAGAAATATGAAACTCTTCTCCCCTCGCAGTTGCACACGCTACGAGGCCACCAAACGGAGATCGTGTGCCTTTCCTTCAACCCGCAATCAACAGTCATCGCGGCCGGGTCGATGGATAGCACCGCGAAACTGTGGGACGTCGAAACGGGAACCGAATTGTGTTCGTTATGGGGCCACAATGCGGAGATTGTCAGCCTCAGTTTCAATACCGAGGGCGGGTTAGCCGTAACCGGCTCCTTTGACCACACGGCCAAGATCTGGGACGCCAAGAGCGGGCGGTGTATACACACTCTGGCGGGGCATCGAGCTGAGGTGGGTTAGTCGAACCCGGTTATCTTAACGAAGCTATCGCTTTTCACAGGTTTGGGTGATCATACCCGCTGGCTGGCACCTTGTCGAGGTGGGTTAGGGCCTTGACCGGCTGCACAGGGTTAGCCCTTAAGCTAGCCTTCGAGTTGGAGTTTGTAGGGTACTCTACAGACTGGCGGCGGACCTAAGGGTGGGTCATCTGAATGGAGAAGGTTTAGATGGAGCCCGCTGAACATTACGGGTTTCCGCTAACCCGAAAATCATCATTTATATATGAGATTCTGTTGATCCTCTCAAACCTACTACGCGATCGGGCGGCGTCATGTGTTGAAAAGCCTCACTGATTCCTCTTCCGTTGTTCCGCAGGTTTCGGCGACCCAGTTCGACTTCGTGGGCGGAATCGTGTTGAGCGGATCAATAGACAGGACGTGCCGGTTATGGGACGTAGGTTCGGGGCGCTGCATCCAGGTCAAGCAGGTAACCAAGCTTTCTCCTTAAGCATCTCAACTTTGGGTTCCATCCGCAGACCAATTTTGCCAACACGGTTTGAGGATCTCAACCCAAGGTTGATTTGGAAGGGGGGCTCGGGCTGCTGCATCCAGGTTTTCCTAGACCATCATCTGAGAACCTGAGTCGAACTCACAGCCTCGTTCTTGACCGGGATTTAAAAGGACCACGCGCGCACAGTCGCAACTAGTTTACTGACTACTCGTTTTGAGGTCTATACTGGAAAGTGTATCAGAACTTTAGGGCTCTCACAGATTGAGCAGGAGGAGGGCGCAGACTCCCGGCTGAAATAGGAACTTACAGGTCACGAAGGAGAGGGTTGCGGTATGTTTTCCACTTCTAGCTCTTCTCGAAGGCTGAGTCACGAGGACTTGATTCCGCAACAAGTTCGCGAAACAAGAAGACGCCCAGTGTAGGCCGTAACTACTGTGATATCCATTTCTAACTCTGTTTTCAGGGTCACGAAGACGAGGTTTTGGACGTTGCTTTCGACACCACGGGCAACAAGTTCGTGTCCGCGAGCGCCGACGCCACCGCGCGCATTTACAGCACGGCCTCCGGGGAGTGTCTGCACGAACTGGGGGGGCACGAGCTCGAGGTGTCCAAAGTGGCGTTCAACCCCCCCGGAACGAAAGTGATCACCGCCAGCAGCGACAAGACGTGCCGGCTGTGGGACGCGCGCACCGGCGAGTGTTTACAGGTGGGTGTGAACGGGCTCCGTTCTTCTGGTTTGAAACGCGCATGGGTGAGTGTTTGCAGGTGTGTGTGAACTTGCTCCGTCATTTGATAAGAAACGGCTTCCTTCTTGCTTTAGAATAGCTCCCGCTCTGAGTGTCTTTTCGCTTGGGGGAGCGGGGAGTGTTTACAGATGGGTGTGAAAGAACTCGTCCTCCGGTGTGAAATGGCTTCCGGATTGTTGTGTGAAGGGCCCGGCCCCTCTGCAAACGTGTCAGATTTCGTGTGGCGGATTGGGGGAGTGCTCATAGGTGGGTGCGAAAAGGCTCGATCCGGTCAGTGTGAAACGGCGTCTCTCCAGTAAACCTGGTTAAGCTGTTCTGTCAGACTAATATTCCGTCCTTTTGGGGGGCTGATCGCATCATGTGACTACAATGGAATTCGCCGAGATCGTTTGGTTGTTGGTGGCGGCAGTAATGTTGGGAAAATCTGCTCTTCGACGTTTTTTTCCAATCAAACATGGGCGAGAATATCAGTTCTCTGGCGGAGGCCTCTCAAGCCAGGCGCTTTCTCATTATAAGATCCTGGTCGTAGGCCACGCTGCCACGTGTCGGCCTGATCTCTATCCGAGAAAGTTTTGCTTGAGCCTCCGAAGCTCTAAACAAAGCTGTGTATAGGCTTGAGAAGAGAACGGCTGTAGAAGGCTGTACGGAGGGGTAAAGCCGTTGAAGTTTGATAGTCGGGAACGCGGTCAGACCATTGGCAGATTCCATGCAGACTGCCCTGACCCGCAACCCGTCTCTGGCCCACATATTTTCAGAAGGGCTTGCCGACAGGATTTCACTTCTAGGATTACAGCTTCTTCAAGCCTAGTTGGACGGGCAAGTTGAACGTTACACTCAACCTCCAAAGTCTACACGGTCAAAAGCTCACGCGGTCAGAGCTCGCCCGGATCCGCTATGATCAATCTGCCCTCTTTCGTCCCGCAGGTTTTGGAAGGGCACACGGACGAGATCTTCAGCTGCGCGTTCAACTACGAGGGCGACTTTATCATCACCGGGTCAAAGGACAACACGTGTCGCATCTGGAGGGCGTGACACGTGTCGCATTTACCGAAAGGCTTCATGGGAGTCGACTTGACGTACACGTACAATTTCAGTTCCCCAGTTCTAGTTCCTAACAAAGAGTCAGGGTTGCGACCGAGTCAGAAACGGGCACGGTTAGTAAACGGGTTAGTGGGCTGTCCTGCTTGGACAAAGGTGATGCGAGGGTGAGGTTATCTACACCTAGGGGCGGGCTGCATGCGCATTGCGTGCGTTCCGCTGTGGTGGGGGCAATTGGTGTGTTAGCTTTGAAGCGAAACGGAATCCACCGGGCTAGTCTCGTCGTTGTGCTAGGCACAAGGAACTTAGTGGCAGGGTTTCAATTGCTCGTCGGTAGCTGAAATAAGCCGAGATGTCGACTGGCAAGCGGCCCGAACCAAAGGACAGCATTAAGAACAGCGAAGCTCGCGCACGTATTTTCGACGAGCAGAAACATAAGGATGACTTTACTGAGCAAGGGGGCGGATGATTTATATACCGGGGTACAAGTTGAGCTTGTACATATGCATCTTGGCCTGTACAAAGTGAAGCGGCGGTTCTAGGAAGTACAATATGCACGCATAATCACCGTACTAATCTGACTGATCTTCAATGATCGGTCTGGCCTTTTCACGCTTGGAATTCTTCCCAATGTGTTTTAACTTTTGTTAGACGTTGCTCAGACTCGGAGGCTAGCGTTGATTCACTTACGACTCGATGGCAGCGCGAAGTAGCTCAATTCAGGCTGAGAGTTTGCCATGCATACACAAGCCTTTGCAAGTACAGCAGTCGGAACGGACCTATGAACTTGAGTGAAAGCATTCGACACCGGCCTTGCAGTTCTTCATGTTTTTAACGCACTACTAATTTCAAGTTTTCTAGCTTATCGAAGGGTGTTTTGATAGCTGTATACTTGTTTTAAGTTTGTATAAGTGTAAAATTGAGCAGGCAATATATATTTGCGTGATATCGACAAAGATTGGATGTGAAGTTGAATGTTTTCATCGTTGTATTTAGATGTTAGTCATCAAGGATATGGGTGAGTGAGACAACTGAGTATGAATTAGACATATAAGTATGGATGTGTAAGTATGTGTAAAAGATCGTTTGTTCCTTTCCAAGCGCATTGATAGCTGATTGATGAGTGGCACTGTTTGAAATTATGTCAAGAGATGTGTTATACGGAGCAATAAGAAGTGTTGTGATTGGTAAAAGTATCGGAGGTTACTGGTGATTACATCTATAAGTTGATTTATAAGGTGGTGGAAATTATGTGCAAAATGGAAGGTGTCTTTGCGAGGGAAAGAAAGCGAGACAATTTTTGTGAGTTGAATGAGCGAGAATACTGTGTGAGTCAAAAAAGCCCTACCAGTTTATAAATAGGTCCAGACGACAGTCAACGTGATCAATGTTTTGTTACCTACGCGTGCTTCCCTAAACTCTTGGGCAATTTGCGGTGCAATAAACATAGTTCATCTAGAAAACGAACGTATCTACACTTCCTCTCCGTTTTGTTACAAACGAATCTGCACAAGTTTTTTACCAACCACCAAATTACCAACGTTCATACACCAGTCGCTACAGCGCTATCATTCCTTCCATTTAATGGTGGCCGGGCATCAGCTTGTCTTCAATCTTCTGGAGCAGGCTCTTCTTCTTGGGGACGGCGGCCGTGGTTCCGGTGTGAGTTCCAGCCAACCCAGTTCCGGTGGTGTGAGTTCCGGTCATTCCAGTTCCGGTGGTGTGGTGGGCACCTGTCAGACCGGTTCCGGTGGTGTGAGTTCCGGTCAAACCAGTTCTCTTGGTCGTCTTCTCATCGTCAGATGAGCTGTAACCGCTGCTGGAGCTAGACCCACCCCGGGCAAGCTTACCAGCTCCAAGACCGGTTCCGGCCGCAATTCCGGTCCCGGTGGCGGTGCTGGTGTGTGCGCCCAAATCCTTGTTCAGCACGTTGGGGTGGTGGCCGAGCTTCTCCCCGTGGAGACCGGTGGGCAAGCCCTTGCCAGCGTGGTGGAACTCGTTGACGGGATTCTCGCAGTAGCTGCGAAAGCCAAAAAAAGGTCGTCAGTAACGGAAGTGAAAGATTCAATAAGTCAAAGTGTCATGTAGAAGAAAGCGGTAGCCAAATTTCTCGTCCATTGTCTGTTTGTCCAATCGTCACTTGTCTGACTGACGATTTTCTCCTGTCAGCTAAGGGTGGTTATATTTCTTATCAAAGCTATCTTGTTCACAATTCAGAATGTACATGTTCAGCCGGTAAAGAATACTGATGAAAAAATTCAGAATGTACATGTTCAGCCGGTAAAGAATACTGATGAAAAAAGTGCTGTAGATTGTCTGATACCAATACACTTGGTAAAATTTGCTGAAAGTGGGGTAGCTTGTCAGCTGGTAAGTTTTAAAGGGTGGCTGGTAACACATTTCAGACGAAATTTGGTCGAAAAGATACTTCGAGAGTTGTCAGCACGACCGTGCAAGTATGGACACATCTTCCAATACACATCCTACTCTCCTGCTACAATTTGAGAGACGCATGCGAGCAGCATCAAAAGCTCACGAAACGTGTCACAGAGAGTACCAACGGAGCGAAGTGGAGCTGATGTTACTCACTTGCCGGTGGGCACCTCGACCTTGCGGGTCACGGGCACCTCCTTGACGATGGGGACGGTGACAGTGGTCTCGACCTGCTCAGTGACCACGCGGGGGACAGTCTCCTTGCGTGGGACGGGCACATTGACAACAACTTTCTCAGTGTAGGGAACCTGCACCTGCTCCTCAACAACCCTGGAAAGAAAACGAGAAAGAAGTGTCAACAACCATGACAATTGTCCTTTCACTTTACAGGCAAATTGTAAAATGATAAGTGTATCTAACACTTCATGAACCGGAACAATTGTGCAAACTCCTGCATTCTGCTGGTAACACGTTCCATGGCTGCCACTGAAGCAATAAGTGCTTAGTTCTAAAAGTATATTCAAGAATCCTGAAACAAATGCTTAAAACAACTCGCATTTCTTCAAAGCAGATGGCAGCAGTTATTTGCAACCATTTCAACAAAAATGAACACCTCATGATGAGGAGCAACCCTGGTTAACTGTAAGGTGACCCACCTGTGCCTGGTCTCAGTGCGGGTCTTAGGGATCTCCTTGACGTGGGGAACCATGTCCACACGCTCAACCTCCTCCATAACCACCTTGGTCTTGGGGACCAGGACAGTCTCGGTGCGCTCATCCAGGCGCTTAACATAGTCGGTCTTGGTGACGGTCTTCATCTCAGGCACCTTCTCAATGACCTGGACCCGGGTCTCGAACTCCTTAGGCTGCAGAGGGAAAAGAGGAAATGCTGTCAGACCTTCCATTCCAAGGCCCAACCCATTTCTATCTCCACCCTCAAGACAGCTCTTACAGCTAAGGCCTCTTCTACTGACATGTACATGCAGCTCAAAAGCCAACTGTCCCCAAGTGCAAACCCAGGAGCATTTTGCTACGCGCGTTCTTAAGTGTGCTCATGTACCTTGTCAATCTTAGGGCACCAGAGTGGTAAACAGCTACAAAACCTCCTGACACCTGTGCAACTGTGCGACTCTGACAACCCTAGGCGACGACCATGAAATTAGCAGTGCCACCTCTGAGGACCGCCAGCTGGAACACTAGACTTGCAAACTATGCCACAAAGCCAAGTTTCTGGTCAAGAGCTGCCTGCCATGTTTGCTCACCAGGGTCGAGTCGTTAGGGTTGGGGCAGTACGCAGGGCCCTGTCCGGTGGTCTCGGAGCGGATCCCAGTCACACCCTGCAGTGCCTCCCGGTCATACTGCTCATCGCGCATCATCCGGCCGGCGCCGGCAGCGACACCGGTGCCCATGTGGTGCTGCCCGGTGAGCCCAGTTCCGGTCATGCCGGTGGCGCGAGTGCCAGTGAGCCCGGCAGCGGTCCCGGTGGATCCGTGCTTCATCTCCTCGCGGTCAGCAAAGTTGCCGGCAGCGCGACCGACAGCAGAGGTGGGGCCAGTGCGGTTCTCAATGGCCTCGGCGGCGCGGCCAGCGGCGCTGTTGGGAGCTCCTGCGCGGTTCTGGTTGAAAGCCATAGTTTTCGCTTGGTGGGCTGTTTCGATACGAGTTTCTGGGGGCAAAGAGTGTACTTTTTTGAAAGTGAGCAACTCTGTTTCTGAGGATTGTTGTTGGGGCTTGCTTGTGATTGTGATGAGCAATTGCTGTGGGGCCTGCTTCTTATCATACGGAACGCAGCTTTTGCAATTGCTCAAACAGACTGGGACTTCGCGATACGCAGGCCTAGCCGCCCTGACACGTCACAGAGGGCAATCTGCATGCAGGTCTGGAAACTGCTTGTCTGGCAGATTGTGGCGCAAGTTCTGCGCCATTTTCCAGACACGTGGTCGCCGCCAAGATTGCGTACATCGACACGTATGTGCCAACCTGCTTGCGGAGGTGCATGCAGTAACATGCAGCTGACACGAAGCACAAGGTGGGCGAGTAAGAGACTGACAGCTCACTGCGGTGGTTTTCCCAATGTGCTGATTTGGAAGGGGCGACCCTGCAAGACTGGCGGCAACCTTCGCTTTCGCAATCTCGTCGGGATTCGGCTGCAACAAGTGGGTCACTTCAGTAGGAGTTCCGAGTCAGGACCGTGACAGTCACGTGAAAGGAGTCAAGCCTTTCAATAGGTAGGTAGGTACCTACCTAGGACACTTGGATAGATGTTTGTATTCCTGCATGCAGAGGGCAGCAAGTGCAATAGGTTTTCTGTGTACAGGTGAGTGTGCACACTGCACAGAAGGTACACCCAAAACAAAATCTTTTCTGGCCGCGGCTTCAATTATTATCAGTATTGATGGGACCCCGGGGACTATTTACTTCTCAGGCTAGCTGACGCAACCACTCCCACCTATTGCCCCAAGTGGCAGTACGTCATTGTACGCCAAGTTCCAACCCAGGTTGTAACAAATGGAAAAGTGCCACCTGGAAGCGTAGGAATAGACGGTACCCCAATTTTGGCAGTCAGGACGGTACGTACTACGTACTACTGTCAGGCTCGAAGAGTCGAACGTAGCACTTGAGAAATTACGTCCCGCTCTAGTTTGCTTTCTAAAATATCTAAGCCCGGGGCCGCGGCAGTGTTTGCCACGAACCGGTGTTATGTGTGGACCTAGCCGGCTGGAGCGAGGGTCCAACCGGTGCCGAAAGCACTCAGCCGGCTAGGCTCCGGTTATAAACCGGCGCAAGCCACCAGGTACCGGCTGAGTTTGGCTGAGATACTCATACTGTCGAAAACCCGGTGAAAAGGATCCGGGAAATTCGGACAGACCGGTAGAAAGTTTGCTCTCGAAGCCGGCAGAAACAAAGGGTGGCCGGTAGAATGCCGTGGCACCGGCCAAACTTGGCCCGGGTGGCAAATTGCAATCGCTGGGCCGTGGGCGTCCCGGACCGCGGCACCGTGACCGGACTCGGAGTCCGCATAGATCGGCGGTAAAGCCGGCCGCGCCCCGCAGATCCCGACGGTTGCAGTGGGCGGCCGGCCGCCCCCGCGATCGCCGGCGCCGGCCGCCACTCA